AGTTAGTCCTTTCTCTTTGTTAGTCATATCTGTGAACTCCCTGTTAAGTAGATCCCTCGCTTGGCTATCTAATGGTAGTTGTCTTGATAGTGTCACTGTGTTACTGACTGTTCATTTATGTTGCGGTTTATTTTGGGGTCACTTTACACTATTTGTCTTTAAACTTTTGTGTCAGGTTAAAGGAAAATGTAATGAGTTTGGGACAAAATCACACATAACATGAAAAACATGTAACAAATTTAACCTCAACATCAGTTATAGTGCCATGCTCTTTTATAAATGTCTCTTTTGCCCTGCTTGATTGCAGTGGTAACTACCTTGGACCATTTTAGCAACATCTCACAAAATGTAGCTCAGGATAATGTGGAAAATTAATTTCTATGTGGTCCCATAGTCCATAACAGACTTGATTTAAGTGAATAGAATACACCCTTAAGAACCCACATGACTACTCAAGTCACAGGTAACCCAGGCTCTGTGACTGTACCGTAGTAAAATTACAGTGTTTGTATGGGGTAAAAATATGATCCTAAAAGTTGTAGGAATACTAAATAAAGGTTAATGAAACTTACTCTTTGAGTTAGTTGTTGTTGTTCTAAAAGCTCAAACGAAGTTTTGTGATAATTTGCTCAAATTCACCCTCCAGATGGAATCATACTGTGGTACTATCATAAAGCCTGAGTGACCTGTGCTCAAGTAATATGAAATCCCCCCTTTAATTTCCTAACCCAACTCAAGGCAATTTGGGAAGAAAACCAAGCTGTTTATCAGAATGCATGTTGGACTTTTTTTCCATGTAACCTTTTATTTATACAGGTCTTTACAGGATAAGAATATCGGCAGGTGTCCAGTTTATGTTGCTCACCACATAACTCTGATTACTTTTAGGGTTATTAGGAGACTGAGCAATTCAAGTTCTATTGAGGGTCACTATACATAAAAAACTGAACTGGAACTTAAGTTCATTCAGTTTCTTAGTCCTAATCACAAAACTTGAAATGTATCTTTCAGCATTTTGTGTTCTACAAAATACTGCAAAATAAGCCCCGGGGCTTATATTTTTCAAAGACCCTTTTTGATGGGCTTATTTTTGGAGGGGCCTATATTTGGGGGGGCTTATCTACGGAGGGAAATTTGCGTTTCAAAATTGATTGGGCTAGCTTACAGTTGGAAGGAAATTTACTGTTTTTACTTTGTTTTACTCTGTATTTGACGGCAATTTCCAAGTAGAAGCCCCCTGGGGCATTATATCGGGCGATTAAACGGAGGGTTTTTTGCATTACGAGTTTGGAGGGCTTATATTTGGAGGGGCTTATTTTTCGGAATTTTACAGTACCCTTACATGGTTCATAAACTTCAGACAAACAAATTTTAACCCCCTTTGATCACCTCCTGGCTAAGACATGTCATGGAGTCATTTACGATTTTTACTTCTTTGGCCATCATTGATCACGTTATTTTATACTACTTTCTGCACTAATCACTTTGCAAATGACTGGGTATGCATCTGAGGTACAGAAATAGCATTTGAAATAAAGAAACAAAAAAAATCGTTCATGCACAAAAATGTTTTTACTTTACCTGTGAGTTTTACCGTTTCTTACAGCGAGGATGAGCCAAATTTTCCTTGGAAAAATAATGTTATTTTACAAAAAAGGGTGCCTGGCATTAACAAGGTTGTGAATTTCGAGGAATTTTCAAGACCTAATAAAGAAATCAAGGACTTTTCAAGGACCAAAACCGAATTCAAGGACTTTTTAAGACACCTACTAACATACAAGACCTTTTCAAGATTGTACAAACCATACCGTAAGTATAACGCCCTTACTGCATCAAAATTGGGTGATAAGTGGTATTGATTTCGTTCCTTTTTGTCTTGCTAATAAGTAGATTGCTAGTAATTCTTTTTTTTGACTAGAATTAAAGGACATTAAACAACTGGATTTACAGGCTTTCACACATAATACAATAGTTTGGTTCCTGAATTGTCCAATGTGTTGAAGTGTGCATTTTCTTAGTAATGGTACAGTATCTCATCTACATTTAAATAAATATTTACAATCAACCTCCAAAAGGTTCAAGACTTGAGCTAATTGTTGGATAAAGCAGCATCTGCTTATAGATCAACATGTTATTTATCATAGTAAACACTCCTCTTTCGTATCAGCTTTTCCCACCAAGTCCGTTCTGTTGATCTTTTCTGCATATCTGAGATGGAAAAATTTATGAAGACAAATAGGTAAGTCTTGATGACTAGTCCTCTTTCATTCTTTGAGCAACCATAAAAAGTAATGTACTAGCCTTAGTAATAACTAAGCCCTGGGCGGGGAGAGGGAGGTAAGGGGGGGGGGTACTCTAGATTTCAAGTGATGGGGATGATCAAAGGATTTTCTTGGGTTTGAAATTTTCCATTCTGGGATGTTTTTGGGTGGGAAAATTTGCCAAGTTTTTTTTGGGTGGTTTAATTTAAGTAGCGATTTTTTTGGAGAAGATTTGTGGTAGTGCCCTTCTCAGCACCATAGTTCGGCAAAAAAGTAAAGCCAAACTGGGGCTTGGGAATTACCGTAAGCATGGCAATTTTGGGGGTTAATATTAATGGTCCAGGTTTTATGGGGGTTTTGTTGGAAGCCCTGAGGATTGTTTTGGGTTTTTGTTTTTCCTGCTCCCAAATTTTGATCATCCCCGTCACTTGAAATCCGCAGTACCCCCCACCACCAGTATTAAGTACATTATTTGTGGTAAACAATTTATTGTCCATTTAGTGTACTCCTCTACGGAACTATTGTTGTTAGTAACTGACAACCATCAAGCCAGCAGTTCTAAAACCAACATGTTACAGTGAGAGTGTAAAAAACCCTGAAGACTTTGATTTGATTCTGACAGGTTAATTGTGTACTGAACAATCTCAATAAAGCACAGAGAACACAAGCAAACCTCAAAGCCACAAACCAATTTCCTTTGCTGTTTGTGGTTTAATTTTGTCCCTCCTGATTGGCTATTTCCTTGCTCACAACAACTTTCCATAAAATAAAATACTATTTTCTGTAACATCTCTGATGTTCACAAAGTTTGAATTGCTGAGTGAAATTACCGAAACCACTGGCATCACTGGCATAGCTAAATCCCTGTTGAGCATGATAAATTGTGCTTACCAGTTGATAAATAAAACTTTGCACCTTCCTTGACAGTCTGCAGGTCACCAGTGAAGGCTGTTTCAGCTTTGCGAGGATACTGTAGAGTTTAATAATAAGAAAACTGTTGCAGATGATCAAATAAAAATTAATTTTCAAATGTAAGGACAGAGTAGTGTTGTATCAGTTTGCTACATGGAAATTAGCTTAATTAGTATGCCTTGTGAGAATTGATTGTACATGTTATATGTATGAATATATATTTAAGGAGGGAAATATTCAGTAGATGTTGTTAGTTGTGTGCTTAAACCGGTGTACATTGGGACTTTACAGGCAGGTTAACATGGATATCCAACTTGGTAAAAAAACATGGGTCTAACTTGACGGGTAATGTCATGGGGAAGGGTGTGTGTGGTGGGCGGGGGGAGGGGGAGTTTAACTCAACAGGGCACATGTGCAACTACCTTACATCTAAATAAAAGTATTAACATACCTTATTTCTGTAGTAATTTGAGCTTATCTTGATGAGGCTGTCAAGCATCTTCTCTGCCTCTTTTGACTGAAGGAAATATGATCAGGTTTCTTAAATGATTGTCTCACATGTAGATAACCAATGTTTGTACCACCATGTACATGTATGTATGTGCAACAGGTCATGTTATGGCATTTACAATCTTAATATCTCTTTTTCCTCTGCTATAACACCAAATTACGCCTTCAATCCGAAAACACATTTCTATGAAAGGATAATAAAACTTTCGGCAAACTTTTAAAGCCTTGAAATGGCTGTACTTGTCTTCCACGGCAGTGTCAGTGGCAGTGTTAGGCAGTGTTAGCTCAGCCGGTAGAGTGTGTTGACTGCAGAGCGGGAGGTTGGGGGTTCGATTCCTGGGGCCGGACCAATACCCAGGGTCTTAAAATAACCGAGAAATGAAGGTACTCCCTTTGTACTGCAACAGGCTAGACGTTCGTGTGGCTTAGCCTCCCATGCAGACGTTTTTAGGGGAGCTCGTTTTTCATCCCTCCCCACAAACGCCTGCTCAACGGAAGACAACATTCCTTTCCCATGCTTAGCCAATCACATTGTACTTTCCAAATTCTGGAAAGTTGACCTTGACCGCAAGGTAATCTGATAATTACTCGATCTGCATGAAACACTGGAAAAATTTTCTAACCTACAATAAATGTTAGATTAAGAGCGGCAAAAATAAGATTCAATCCAATTTTAGAATACTCCATGCACTTCATAACCTTAACGAGGGAAAGAAAAGAAAGAAAACGGTAAATGTAGGGTCACGTTTTAGTCGCGTTTAGCCTGTCAACACTTTATTGCACAACTGTTGATTGGTCACTTACCAAGCAAATAAAACAATGGGAAAGGAATGTTGTTTTCGGCTGAGCAGGCGTTTGTGGGGAGGGATGAAAAACGAGCTCCCCTAAAAACGCCTGCGTGGGAGGCTACGTGTGGCTCGGATGACCACGTAAAATGGCGGTCCAGTCTCCAGTTGGAGACGTAAAATATAGTGTCCCCAATTAGTACTTTCGTGCTAAATACATTGACACTCAAATAAAGTGCTTTCTTTTCCCACTCAACGACGTCGATATTTGGTAACGTTACATAAGAACTAAGAATCAGGTTCCCCTAACACTCACATCTATCTGGGATTTCTTGAGGCGTGGAACAAGGTTGCCTTTAAGATGCTCTCCAAGATCTCTTCCTAAGCGGTTTTGGTCGACAGGCCATTGCTCACAAACTTGTAAAAACCTCTTGTAAAGTTTCGGTGCAAGAGCTTTTCTAGTCGCCATATTGGTTTTATGAACGAATCCGCTGACCGCTGATACTTCGGTTGGCTGGTAAGCCAGGTTACCAAGCAGTGTTTGCAAGTGAGTTAGAGAACAAGAAAAGTGAGAAAAATGTAGATCTGCGCTTTTTCTGCAGTCCTCTTTGGTTTCTATCGGTGCAAACTTTTTGTAGTTATGGAGTTTGTGGAGTATATCAAATCACCAAAAATCGACAAGGTTTCTCTGCGGCGCAGAGGGCAGGCGTACCTGGAAGGAACGCTGTGTGTCACTGGTCATCACTTGATCTTTTCTTCCAGAACGGACCACAAGGATGAGCTCATTGTAAGTAGTGTGATTATATTTATTGTTTTGTGTAATTTCTTTTCTATATCTTAATGTGGACAACGTACTTACAGACAGCCCTTACACGCCCGTTCGGTCTGCCTATTCATTGGAAATGGATGACGTGTAAATATTAATTCATTAGTTGTACAAACAAAACAATGTACTATGCCCTGATGGCTTTCAGGGTAATGGGTTTGACTAGTCTGTCAGCCCTTCAATAGACCAGTTTCAATATATTAAAGTTTTCGTTTGGCTTTGATACTAGGGGTAATAAAACAAAAGAAATGAATCTTTAAAAAATAATTTTAAGTGAATTGAAAATTAAAGCCATTTCTTTTCTTTATTCCTTCAAACCTTAAAGTTAGATATGAATTTTAATATATTATTTGAAATAAAATTGGTCTATCAGGACAACTAAACATGACCTAAACAGGTCCCAGTTTTCTATTAAGGAGTAAACTGGCCCAGAACTAACGAAAACAGTGTGCACACAGGGACCTGTTGACCACTTTTGTAACTGAGTACGTTGGTCCCGACCTTGTACTTGAGCACTGGGATGGATATTTGAAAAAATTGTGTACTTACATTAGTGCGCAGTGAGTACTGTACTCCAGCACCAAGTGTGAATACTGCCTTTGCAAACATGATTAGTTAACAATTATTCCACGAGCGCACACTGGATATGAGTTGGCTTTAATCATCTTATATCCAACATTGAACAAGCCAAGTAGAATAACATAGAACATTTCATTGAACAAGCAAACAATCATCACCCTACGATCAAATTTACGGCTGAAATTTCCGATAAAGGAAACAGCATTCCTGGACACCCTCGTCTACAAAGGGAAAGATTCAAAAGAGACGCAACCCTTGATGTGCGTACTCATTTCAAACCAACTGAGACATTTCAGTATACCCATTTTGGTTCCTGTCACCATAAGGAGTTAAAAAGGCTTCATTAAAGGGGAAGCCCTCCGACTCCTCAGAACAAACTCTTCCAAAATAATATTCAAGAGAAAATTACAAATTTCAAAGCGCATCTGCTACAGAGGGGTTACCCAGAGGATCTCATTAACACAACCTTCTCAGAGGTGAACTTCAAAGACAGGAAACTAGCCCTTCAACAGAAAACCAAAGACAAACCAACGAATCTTGCCTTTTGTCACACAATACCAACCATCAGTGCCTAACCTAAAGCAAATTCTCATGAAAAACTGGCATTTAATAGAACAACAACCATTACTGAGCGAAATCTACAAACTAGAACCGGCCCTCGTATCTTATAAAAGAGGGCGGTCGCTCAAAAGACATACTCGTGAGAGCCAAACTATAAAAAGGCTATTTTAAACACTGGGCTGGGGAGTCCTGTAGGCCTGTCAACCCCATATTACATCTTAATGAGAATCGTCAAATGCAAACAAGAAAGAACAAAAACAAACAAACAAACAAAACGGTGAGCTTATGCACCATAATTGCACGCGTAATAAGAAAATGTCTTTTCCCGATTTTTTGCACAGTGCACAATCTCGTAGTGAAACCCTTGTCACAATATATAAAGGAATCGTTTTGCTACATAACTCATCCTGTATTGACGTAACAGATTTGAAAATGTTAAACATCTTATGCAAATATTTGAAAAAAAAAAACTGCTTTGTTTAGTTTCTGTTCAGTTGAATTGAGCACTCAAAAAGAGTGCAATGTTAGTGAATGTAATGTTTTTCCGTGAGATAAAAGTGCTAGGCAGCACTATTACCCTGTTACTTTTATTAACTTGAAAAGAGGAACCGGAAAGGACAAAGGCCTTCCGTTTTTCACACATTTGTAATCGTGTACTGTTCTGAATGGATAAAAAAACTAAATTCATAGATCAAGATTCTTGCAGTTTACCCTTCCCCGACAACTAAAAATACCGCTGATAAAATACGGTTGTTTAAAATTGTACCACCAAAGTTGTCGTGAATTTAAATGATGATGCACTTACAAAAGTTAAACTGCAGAAGAAAAAGATTCCATTGATCGCCATGTACAACGCTTGTGAAAAGCGTGACATTTGTTTGAAGTCACCACACTGGTTTTGCTGAATGAGAACAGATGCTACGGGTAACTTTATAGGTGTGGTGGATAGCTTTGTGGCCTTTGGTTGCATCTGTTAGCTATAGTCAGATCTTTTCAGCCAAACAGGTTGCATATGTATTTTGCTGATTTCGGCGAGTGGCTTTGTGATCGTGAAGAAATGTACACGTTCTTGTTGGTTGAGGTAATTTCATGCCATGCTTTTTAATTTTGTGACTGTCTATGTTTTCCAAGGGTTGCATTCTATAGCAGTTTTTAAAAATATCTTATATCTATGCCACAAATGATTTCCTTCAGTACTTGTATCCACCGCGAGAAAAAACATACAAATTGAAAAAGTCTTTTGCTGGCATAATGACGCTTTTGTTTACCATATATGGTCACAGCATGGCTATGAGCTGATAACCCTGCTGCGTTGAGTGAATCAGAATGCAGGAAATGCAATAACCATCGTCCAGCTGCATGCCACTTAAAAGAAAAGTTGTCTTACTAAAGTATGTTATTTACAGCTCTTGCACTCAGCAGTGGAACATGTTGAGAAGAAAGCAAGAGGTCAAGAAGGGATACTCACTCTTTTTTGTAAGAACTTTGACTTGGTGAAACTAAAGTTCAACAGCATCGAAGAAGCACTGAATGTAGCATCATCAGTTGAAGTTCTGTCAACCATTGGTAAGAAAAATAGCCATCATTATTATTATAATAATAACTTACATATTATTCTTTAAAAATATTTCTCCATTTCTGATTGGCTAAAATCCAATGCATAATTTATCATAACCAGGTTCTGTCTACTAAATTTGCACTTGAAAATTTCTACAATATTTGAAAGATGATGTCAATTGTGCAGGAAAATTACCAGATTATTGAACAGTTATCTGAGAAGTATGTTTTAGCTTGCTTTTAAACTAGGAATTATTTTGAATGAATAATGAAACAATTATTGAATTCGGTTTTCGTGTCATCTGAAAAATTATGGAGATCTTGGAGGATGTTATCTGCCGAGGCCTAGTCGGCCCTATGTCCTTCATTCTTCAGATGATAATCAGCCTTATTCAATAATGTTATTGCTAAATATTACATTATAGTTCTTTTTTTCACATTATCCTTAGTCAACATGTTTAATGTAGTTTTTGTTTGTATGTTTCTTTTATCAAAGTGATTTCTTTTTTTTAACGTAGGAAACACAAACTTGAGGTATCCTTTCTTCTATCGTCATCTGAAACCTCTTGAAGAAGATGGGTGGGACTTGTTTAGTTTAGAAATGGAATTCTCTCATTTGTGCTCTTTAACTCAACAATGGAGAATAAGCCATGCCAATAGTAATTATGAGGTACATTTCTAATATATTATTGCAACAGACTGAGTGTTTTCATATCAACATTATCATTTTCATCATCATCATTGTCATCACCATCATCATCCTAATCGTCATTGTTCTATTGATTCTATTGATCATCATCATCATGCTAATCATCATTATCATTGTTCTATTGATTATTGTTCAGCTACAATTGTGACTCCAGAATATATGACTGAGGTTCAGCTTTGTGTCCCATGACGATGTGATTTCTTACATTACATTTGTAGATCGTACACAATAAGGAAGGCATGGTTGAAATTTTCAAAAACTCATACTGGTTCTGCTAGGAAAAGCTTTTTGTATTATAACTACAACTTGCATTATCCTTGAATGTCTTTCAAGCCAAATAATGCCTGGTCTTAATTTTGTTACTAACTTAGTTAGTTAACAGTTAGCTATAGTTTGCTTCTATTTTATTTTATAATGAATGTTATATTAGCTGAAGGAAATATTTTTTTAATGTTAGGTTACCTGTCCACCTACTAATAATACCAATTATTGCTACAAAGAAAAGGGTAAAAACTATAGCCTCACCCTCTCCACCATTATATTTCTAAGAGTGAAGTTTTTTTCTTTTTTGTGTTTAGCTATGTCCCAGCTATCCAGCCAGTGTTATAGTACCAGTTAAAATTTCTGATGATACATTAAAGGCGTCAGCACAGTTCAGACAATTTGGCAGGTTTCCTATTTTAAGCTACTATCACAAGAAAAATGGGGTAAGAATTAATATTTAATAATAATTGTTATTAATGCAATATCATCTTTTACAATCAAAAACTATTGAGAATGATTTTCAGAATAATAGTTACAGATTAAAATCATTCTTGATAGTCTCTTATTAAGGACACTTACATATAGCTGTATTCCTTTGCTGTTCGTGTTGAAGTATGTTGGACTGTCTGCTGAACAAGAAATATTTCTATTGAATGTATTACTGATATACCATCGTATCCTATTTCTTTCCAAGTAATACTGGTATTTTATGGGTGAAAACTTGAATGTGTTTTTTGCAAAAGGTCTGTTAAAATGTTGCAGGTTGCTATGATGCGATGTGGCCAGCCGTTAACAACCATGGCATCTAAAAGAAGTCGTGAAGATGAAAAATTAGTTAATGCCACTCTTGGAAGTGATTCTAAAGGGATAATTATTGATACAAGATCACAAACAGCTGCTATGAACAGTAGAACAAAAGGTAAATGGAAAAAGTCGTGCATTCCATGATCATCTTGCTCATCTCATCCTTATGCAGTTCTTGCAATTTTGTAAACAAGAGAGAGAACGGTGGAAAATCTCAATGAATGCAAAAATTTGTCCAACTTGCAAAGAATTGCAAATGATATTTTGCAGCTGCATGCAAACCTAGGCATAAGTGCTCATCCTGCTGTCACATATTTGACTCACTTACATACTTCAACCTTAACCAAGTGAAGTGATTTATAGGTCTCATATCATGTTGCTTTACATAGGCGAGAACAAAGATGACATTTCCACCTTATTCTTTCTTTTTGTAAGCCTTAAATCTATCGCTGGCTTGGGCTTCACATTTTGCATTCAGTTTACATTGTTATAAAATCAAGTTTGAAATGTGGGTGCTAAAATGTTGTGAAATGTTAGTTTATATGAAATTCATGTTAACCCATATAAAATCAATATGTACTCCATATTAATTAATATTATTTTATCCCATGTAAAGTTAACACTAGCTCCATTAAATATGATCCCATGTGTAGATAATCAGTATTGTTGTGGTGTTTTTGGATGACATCAATAATCAAATTATTTGAACTAGTCTTACTTGCTTTCAATCTATGTAGGTGGAGGTGTTGAACCAGAATCACATTATCCTCAGTGGAAAAGAGAATATCAAAATATTGAACGATATACAGCACTCAATGATAGTATTGCAAAACTAGCAGAAGGTACATGTATAACATACAGTATATCTTTTTTACAACGATTTTGCAAAGGCTTATGCCGTTGCATGAATTTATTGCTTACAAGAAGAATAATATTATCCTACATGCTGTGTGAAGATACAAATCAAGAGTAACCAAATTATAAACAAAAAATCCTTTCAGGGTGCAAGGAAAATCGTTTTTTACAGCTTGCCATTTGGGCGAGCTGAAGTTAGCATTTACTAGCCCAGACATCATTTCAACTAGCCCCAAAACGTTTTGATGAGCAGAATTGATTTCACAGTTCTTCTGCTATTCCAGTTCCTCAAAAAACATCACTTGCCCATCGGGCAAATAGAATTCACTAGGCCGATAGCAAAATCCACAAGCCCCAGGCTATCGGACACTACTTTCTTTTGCCCGCTGCCTTTACATTCCCCTTAAAGAAATGAGTATGCATGCTTGCCCCAAATTTTTCACAGTCATATGTTTTGTGACTGTGAGTATTTGCAGCTTCCCAAAGTTAGTGACATTGCTCTTATTTACGTTGATTTTATTTATTATTTTTGTCTATACAGCAAGTTTAGATCCCAAGCTAAGCATGACCTCATGGCTGTCTAAACTGGAGTCAAGTTCATGGCTTGATTATGTTCAAAGCATTTTATCCACAGCTTGTCATGTTGCTAAATGTTTGGACAAAAACGGTAACAGTGCATTTTACAGTACGATAATTTTACAACCAAGAGAAAGTATTTTACAGTGTATAGTAAAATGTTTGGGAAGGGGACTGCACAGCTGTACTTCATTAGGTCATAAAAAAACTTATGTTTGATTTTCTTTCTTCAGTTAGCAAATGACAAAAAAGAAAATTTTCAACTATAATAAACAGAAAAAAGATTTTTATGTTAGCACCAAGAGTGCCAATGTGGGAAGCTATTGTAATAGTTTCTTGCATTAATACCTAGTAGATATTTTGCACTAATGCTTTATTTAACAATTATTCCTCGAGCCAGAATGGGCTCTGAGTCAATGGCCCATGTGGCGGAAGGCCGAATGGGCTATTGACTCAGAGGCCATGAGGGCGAGAGGAATAAAATTAATGTTTTAGTAAAATCCAACTAGTTGGTCAAAAATATGGAGAATAAAAAACTTTTAGCTAGTTAAAGCTATCTAAACTTTAATCCGTTTTTGCTGCCAAAAAGCGTGCGCTTTTCGCTACTAGTAGGCTATAACATATAGCCTAGTAGTAGCTCAACCATTCAGAATGCAGCATTGATAATAGACCACTAGTTGGATTTTACTAATATGGAATAGTCGCCCTCACTTAATGAGTAAAATTAATATTATTGTACATGAGGTTTTTTTATGGTTATTATCTTTGCAAGGTTCTAAATTTATATTATCTGTATTAGGAACAACTGTCTTAGTTCATGGTGATGCTGGCACAGATGCCACCTTACAAGTCACATCTTTAGTGCAGATTTTGTTAGATCCTGTTTGCAGGACAATTAAAGGGTAAGAATTATCTGTCAGATTTTAACTATATTGGGCATTTTTGTTTGGTGTACAGTAGATACCTGTCTAAATTCTTCTCTCGTAAAGTGCACTGATCATTGCTAAGCCTGACTTGTGTCCAGTCAACTCTCAGTCAAAGAAAAAAGAGGGGGGCCTCTCCCTTTCGTTTTCCTCCTTCCCATCACCCCTTGCACTCGTTTCAGTCACTCTTCTTGCGTTCCGTCCTCTGCGTGCGATCCAAATAGAGACGACTCGGGACAAGTCAGATTGCTAAGCTGTGTGCTGCAGATTTTCTTTCCTGTTTTTTGTATGTCACTCAACAGTAAGTTTAAAATATTTGTAATGGAGAAGGCCAGTGCTAGTTCCGGATTCAATTAAATAAAACTTTTTCAAGTGTGATTTCAAAGTGTGGCTGTTGTTTTTAATCTCTAAAACAATAGCTACACTAAAGTTACGATTTAAAAGTTTTATTGAATTAACAGCTGGGGTGTGAGAGTTGATTGTAAGAAAGCATTTCTTTGTACTCTGAAAGTTACCCATGTATGAACCTTAATGAGAATTTCACTTTTAATCAAAACTCTCCTGCCAGATCAGTCAAATCCTAAATAAAATTAGTATGCCCCAAGGAGATGGTTTTTCAGCAAAAAGTCTTGGAAAAAGCTTATTTCATTGTCAAAATGATTGGTCCGGTAATGGTCTGGCCGGCCAGTTCTTACTTTTGGAAACAGTTCATCTTACTACAGCTAGCCTGCGTAGCAAGCGTTTCCTCGCAAGTTCGTCGAGAAAGTTAGGACGAGAGCAAAAAAAGGAATGATTGGAAACGCTTGCTACGCAGGCTATACTACAGCGCATGCTACTTGCTACCTAGTCGTTTCACAGGGAAACTCAAATAATTATTATTCATTCATTATTGACAGATTTGAGGGTCTAATTGATAGAGAATGGTTACGTGGTGGCCATCCGTTTACTGAGCGCTGTATTAAAGTAGGTGTATCTCCAGTTCGCTACAAAGGCCAGGGTGCAGTGTTCCTTCTGTTCCTAGACTGTGTGTGGCAGGTTAGTGTTGAGAACAAAACCCATGAAACAATACCAAGCAGATTTTTCCCTGAACAGGAAACAAAGAGATCTTTTGTTTTCTGTCATCAGAGTCTGGTACACGAAGTTTTGACCCTTTTTCTCAGTCGCCAAAGCCTCTTTTTAAAAAGTGCCAAGTCTGTCTACAAAAATAATCTTTAGTTGTTACGCAAATAAAACTCACTTAAGTAATAAGTGATGAACTTAGCCTCTTTTTGAAAGTGAAGATTTTGAAAATTCGGCATATTTGCCTCCGTAAAGTAAATGAAAACCTGACGTTACGAGTGCTATTCTTTCGTCACAGTGAAGACGAGGGACTTTGATAAAGGCGTGGTGCCCAAGAAGTCAATTTGTGATGATCTCTGCAATGGCAATTTTTTTCGTTAGTTAAGATGATAAAGCCAATGATTTGTGTATTCCATGTACTTGTAGCAAGCTCAGTACTGGTAAAAGGTGACAGTCGCGTCAATATCAAATACATGTCCCTCAAGGCACACTGTGCAGTGGCTTTGTCATTTAATGTTTTTCATTTTTATCAACAGATATACCAACAGTTCCCATGCTCGTTTGAGTTTAATGATCGTTTTCTCATAACTTTGTTCGAGCATGCGTACTCTTCGCAATTCGGTAAGATATCTTTGGACTTTATTATGTGGTATTTGTAGAATTTTTGTGTTTAGATACAGCTGTTTTTCGTTTGTCGCCTTGAACCGTTAACATGGAAATGCGGCATTTTCTTTGTACACTAAAACGTTATACTTAATTTTTTTTTAGGTACCAGTTTCCTCTACCGATTTTTTCCTGAGGGAGGAGGGGACGTCTGTACACGGGCTAACCAGCCGTCCCGTCCTGGGAGGGCTCCGCAGTTTCCCGGCCCCAGTTGTTCAAACGTTGGATATCGCTATCCACCGGATAAATCACTGTCCAGCGGATAAGTATTCGGGAAACCAATTACATGCGCTATCCCGTTGATAGTGATTTATCCGGTGCATAGCGTTATCCACCTTTTGAGCAACTGGAGCCTGGAATGTACGTACATTCTAAAGGCCGATTTACACGGTACAATTTTGTCGCGTGCGATGAGTTTATGATAGACCTACAACCTAATTCGTACCCTGTAAATCAAAGTTGCGATAGTCGCAAGTCTGTTGTAAGTGAGATGTGCACGACAGAACCCGTGTCGTATAGGATTATCTTAAGAACATAGCTTGCGAAGAAGTTGTGCCGTGTAATCAATGCTTAAACATTGCACAGCTGGTCATTTCTATTTTTCTCCTTTTCAGGCACCTTTCTTTGTAATAACGAATGCGAGCGTGTAGCAGCTAAACTTAAAACAATGACAGTGTCTCTGTGGTGAGGCTTGTGCAATTTTATTTTTAAATACTACTGAATGTAGCTAATTTTTCTTTTCTATTAATGAAGTTTTTACAAATCTCACTTTTCAGGTCATATCTAAATCAAGCAGATATCCTTAAACCGCTGTTAAATCCAATGTATGAACCAAACAGCTCTGTTCTCTGGCCTTCCGTGGCTTCGCAAAGTCTTGTAAGTTCATAAAGAATCTCGCTTCTTTTTGCCATGTAGCTAAAGATGATTTTTGGGGAAAAAGTTTGGATATTACCAGCGCCTATTTACGAATTTCCCACAGGTCGCTATTTAAAATTTTTGTGACTTCATTTGTGGTGGTGTGAAGAATTTGATCTTTAACAACCGCTGCCCCAAACTTTCGTCGTCGAAATTTGAAAAAGGATGACGCACATTTTGTGACATTTCTAAAATGAGGAAACGGACGATTTTTATTCTTTCATGAATGCGTTAAAGGACTGTACATGATATTCTGATGTTGTTACCTTGTTCTTGTAGGTATTGTGGCCAAGCTTGTTTCTTAAATGGAAAGAATCTAACAAGAATGAAGACATTTTATGGGAAGAAGTGCGCAGAATACAGGAAATAAATACGGATTTAAAAAGTAAAGCTATATCTCTAAGAAGGTAAGGGAAGACATCTTAGTCCTATAGGGTGCAAGGAGAGCAGTTTCAAATGAGTACAGTTAAAGCTCTTGTAGGTTTCCCTAACTGGAGTTGATCCGGGGCTCCGATCTTTATGGCAGGAATTCACATAAGTCGTCATTAGCAGCATACGGGAAGGGAAGCACGTTTAGACGAATTGTCTTTTTCCCGAGAACAGTTTCCTTCCAAGGACATTTCATTACTTCTACATCTCCCAACCAGCAAAAAATTGCCAGAAGAACAGATATTTTGAGTAACAGATCCATTGGGTGCCCCTGTACAAGGGCTTCAGTATTATTTTCTCGAAGAGTTTAGTCGCAAGTTATCGTTTTACGAATGTGAGAATTTTTCTGATTCCTTTCTAAATCATATTTTTGAATCCGAACATTTTAGGTTTCCTTATCATTTTTTTAAAGCAAAAAACAGCATTACTTGGAGAGTGAAGTGTGAAAAATTAAGCTTCAGAAAATTGAAGGAAATTTATTAGATAAGTTTAGAAAATTGTACATGTATGGAACGGTCAATAGAAAAGTGTAGGCAATATCTGCTCCTCCGGACAGAAATTTTACAGAAAACAGTCGTCGGGTGGTCCTGCATGCTCAATCTGGATTTTGTCTACGGAGATGACTGTGCGTATGAGGTGTCTGTTATGAAAGAAAGCTTTAATTTCTGAAGAAACTGCAGTGTTGTGTCGGTGGGGGAGTGGGAAGATTGAGAAGGCGCTCTTCTGAGCGAGTCTCGTGAATCTCTGATGAAGGGCAAGCGCTCGAAAGTTAGCCTGCGAAACTGGCGGTTGGTTTAACGAAAGAGCAATGAGCGACGAAGCCGAGGGAAAAAAAACCTTTCCTCCGGCGGTCAATCTAAGTTATTTTCTCAACTCAGCACCAGCCAAATCTTTGTTCGTTATGTAACCTTTAACTGTAGTTAGTTTTGGGTTAGTTTTTCTTTTTTTTTCCGAGAAGATTGGAAGTCAAGTGTTGATTTCCTTGCCTGGGGAAAACGTCACTATCTCTATAAAATCTTATGTTGTTTTGTTCTCTCAGGGAATACGCCGAACTACAAGCCAAAGTATTTGAAGAAAGACGAAAATGGCAAGAAGAACAAGACCAGAGAGAAAAACAACGAACTTGAAACTGAAGTTGTGTCAAGATTCTTTCACTTTGTTTAGAGGAATTATTTCTTCTTTGCCGGCAGTAGTCATTATAGATTCTGCGTTAGTTAAGTGCGGTGGTTACCATTTTTGTAACAGTGGGGTAGAAAACAGTCTCTTTACTTAAGCGAAAGTTTATGTCAGAGCGGAGCGCGGATACAGCTAGGATCTAACCTCTACGTATTGATCGTATTAGTGTCGCATGTTATCTTCTACGCGGCCGTTATTTCGGTAGTCAGGAGTATTATGTGACAACCCAAATATCACACAGCTTGGGAAAAGACGTAGTATGAATAGTCCAATGGATCTTATTTTTGATATGGCTATAATCATACCGGCGCAATTTTAAGGTGTTAGAAAATATATAATTGCATTTTAAAGATAGTTACTGTAGCGTCGAAACGAACTTGGCATGTACAAAATCAATTGCAAACTGAGTGAGAACATAAGACCACGTGGGCATTAGGCCACGTTTTCTGTAGATATTTTTCTATACGACAAGTACAGACTGAAATTTAAGATGCAATGTGTGATTTTCAACTGCGATCTCAAAAATGTGGTCACTGAGTAAATGGATCCCACTGAACAAACAAAACTCTGTCTCTTTATATTCCGGGGTTTCACCGGCATGCCAAAAGGAAAGACTACGATTTGAGAAATCATCTGTGCTCATGTAAGTTAACTTGAACAAAAAATAAAATTAATTTCGAGACACACGCAATTCGTTATTGCTGATAACGCACGTTGTTTAACTGAGCGCGAAGCGGGAGACGCAGCCTGGCGCAAAGCGCGAGACTGGAGGAGGGGGTGTTGTGCTTTATTTACAAGGGATAGTTCATTTTTTCTGTTCGTCTTGCTCTCCGCTAGGCTTAGCTTAACAACGTACGGTTCAATCAGCTTTCGTAGAAGAAGAAAAATATATTTATGTAGGAATAATTTTATGGATAATAAAGTTATTGCGATAGGTAACAGATCAAACAATAAATTAACTGATATCATAAAGACTTTTGTTCTTGGGCCATCGATGGTAGTTTAATTAAAACACAAACAGCGGTGATAAACATTCTGAGCTTTTGCATTTTTATGTAAACTTGACGTTTCGTTTGCTAGTCAACATACATTTTCAAAAGTGATCTTTAATGACCGTTACGGATGATGACGAAACTATTAATTTTATACAGACAATTTACAAGGTGTCGAAAGGTGGCCGGAATTGAGATTAAGAATTCAAAATTCTTGACAGAAACGAATACAAAAGGCAACAGCTAATAAAGTTGACTGAAGGTCTTGTATAGACCATGTTTCTTTTATCTTACAATCATAATGTGACATAAAACAGTTTCATCTTTGTTATTATTTACTTATTGATTTGTTTACCATTTTAGTGACTTGTGACAAGAGCGTTGCTGTTTTGAAATTGTTTGTTTGTCTTTGGCCTTAAGTTGCGGACACTTGAATCCAGAGCTTTCGCATTTGTTTTCTGGCGAAAAAATATCACCACCACAGTAGGAACTACTGTACAGTACAGTGGACTACTGTACAGTAGAGAGCTGCTTAAGTTAACAACCCTTCCCCTGAATTTTCATTTGCACTATTCAACATGTTCAAAATGGCTGCAAGATCAGCTCGTCTTGGATCAGGGATGATATCTACAATCGTTTGTTTTCTGTTGAACGGAATTTTGCAACGTTTTTATTGGTCAATACAATCAAAATGTATTCTTTTGAACGTTGTGCACTTTCAGGTCCACAAAAACATACAAAGGAGTCTGACGGGCTAACATTCCACTCAACCATTGGTCAGGGATGGATAGTTGAAGTTTTTGCTCAGTGTGACTGAACAAGCTAACATTGCACCATTGGTCAGGCATGGATATTCCGTGACTGAAAGATTGCCGAGAAGTACGAAATAGGAATGGGGCGAGAGAGGCAATTCTGGTCACGCAATGGTAATGGAAACTAGGTACACGGAAAATCATGTAAAGACTTAAGAAAGCTCTCTCTTTCCATTAGAAACCCTATGATAATGGCCTCTGTGACGTTAACAAACCGGTAAGTATACAGTTGTCTCGAGAGGCTTTAACAAAACTGTGAAAGGTTGGCATTCATGTTCGCAAAGTTACTTGCTTTGATGGTCTCGATGATTTCCAGCATGCGAACAAAGAATCGTACATTTTTAAAATGTGCGAATCAAGAGTTACGGTAAATAATACAAGTAAAATGGTTGGATTTAGTTCTGCAAGTGAAGATTCTCAAGAGAGAGTGATTAGCATATGAATGTTTTCAGACATATCTTCTACTACTTGCATTACGTGCGTGTCAACGGTATCATAATGAATTTGATAATTATTTGAGCTAAAAAAATTTAGTGCCAAGACTGAAATGAAAGAATCAGAGTCATACAAAGTATTTTAAATAATCGGTAAATAATTTATTTTACTGTCTTAAAATTTGCTGCACATGAGGATTTCAACCTTCTTCAACCCACGTGAAACATTTGGAGTCCTTTGTCTCCCTGTCATCAACTCACCTCACCTCTAATCAGTAAACTAATCTGCCTTTCGCTTGTTGATGAAATAGTTGCGGCAGGGGTGGGGGAGGGCTACAGCCACCTTTTTAGTTTTGTTAGCCCCCCTCCCTCCCCCTGTGTCTCAGGATATCCCCACTTGTCCACCCAAATGATCCCAGAAATCTCTGCACCCAAAGCTTGTGCCCATTCTTTCTAGAGGTTCTGAAGTTCCCCAACCCCCAAACCAACCGTAACTGAATAGCCCAGTGAACCAAGTGTTGAACGATTTAACCATACTAAAATAATAATAAATTATTTCTGTCAATAACTGCAGGGAATTAAAGAACAAGGCTACTGGTATTGATATCCGTGTACCACAGCATGAACATATTTCTGGTCCACTCGGTGGAAATGTCTTGTACCATGTGATTGTTGTGACACGGTTGTTCTACTTCAAAACTCCAGGTAAACACAAGGAGTCTGATGTTGTCCAGTTCATGGTAAGTAGACAGTGTATAGACTGTTTATCTTTGAAAAAGTAGCTGAAGTCTTTTTCAACCCCCAGGGAAGCTGTTAACTAGTTCTAAAAGCCAAGTTTCCAAAAGCTGGGTGTCCGGCAGCCAATAAGAAATCAAGATTCCTACTTGACTTAGAATTGTTTTGGGAAGTTAATTTAACTAATATTAGGGTTCAATTCTCCAGACCCGTAAAAAGTCTGGAAAATAGCGATATGTTGGAAAACAATAAAGTCTTTTTTTCAAAGCTACAACAATTATTCCTGACATAAGTGAATTTTTTTCATTTTGGTCAAAGCTTTATTCAATCTTTCCTACACCTTTGCAGTGCATTGGGAAAAAAGCTTTGTTCCTGTTTTTTTTAAGGCGGCTTTATCACCTATTTGGTAACCTCGAGTCTGGAAAAAGAAATTATTGTTTTCAAAAAAAGTCTTGAATTTTGGATCCAGAAATCTACATGAAGCATGTAATATAATTACAGTCAAACCACCAGTAACTGACTATCTAATGTCTTTCTGAGAAAATTTTGAGTTTTAGGTATAGGTCAGGTTCCATATGCATGAGGTTGCTGTCACCTGAAGTGACTTCAAGTTGAAATAAACAAATAATAGATATTAACCAACTGTCTTTTATTGTTTATTCCAGATTCCACAAAAATATGAGGTTTTTGAAGACCTTTGTGCTAAACTCTCACAGAAGTTTCCCAGTGTTGTATTTTCTTCTCCACCAAAGAAGACATTTTTAGTCAGTGATTCAGTAATCTCAGATCGTCGCCGGTATATGGAGGATGTGCTTCAACAGATAGCCAGGACTCCAAAACTAGCTTGTAGCTCATTGGTTTTGGAATTTCTTGGAGCAAAAAGAGGGCATAAGGATGTAAACCGACTTGAAATAACCCAGACAAAGAAAGTAATGAATAGCAAACAAATTATAAGACCTTATAACTATAAAAGTGTCTGTACACAGGCTACCCATTATCGTTAACTTTAAGCCAGAAGACCCAGAACTTGAAAGAAAGTATAAAGTGATAGAATCCAATACAGCTTTTTAGTGGAGCAAAATCATATGCAAGTGGAGCCCCATAGCTAAGAAAATTTGGTTGTCTATCCATCCGATAAATTTTGTTAGTCTCATGACTGTCTGTCCAGCCATCCCGCATCCTTCCATACCACAGGGCTCCCAATGTGAAATCTCCCACTTTCTAGCTTATTGTGGGAGCCTGTAACCTGATATTGCACATTTATGTTGTGGTCATTTGATAGCTGCAAAACAGAGTATCCACTGGCCAGTATCACATGACCCTATTGCAGGCTCAGGTGTTGGCCTATCAAGGTTACATGTTTTTGGAAGTTATCTGCTGACAAGTCACTAGTTTTTAACTACATGTAATAACAGGGTTAACGCCGAGTGGATTTCTTTGCAGTGGTTACAATGGTTACATGGTTGTTTAAAGCAAATTAATTGTAAATAATTTTATGTACAGGAACTTTGCCTTAAGCCTTGGCTAAATCTCTATATTATTATTGAAATTCTGCTTAGGATCCAAAGGCAGAGGAAGAAGAATCTTCGGAACAGAAACCTGTCAAAGAAGAGGAAGTGGAAGATGTAGACTTGTTTGCCAAAACAGATGAAACAGATGTAGCCCAAAACAATGGCAATGAAGAGGATGAAGAGGAAGACTTATTTGCAACAGCTAAGGGCTCATCTGAGGCACAAATGACTGGTTTCTCAATCTTCGACAACAATGACAAAGAAGACTTGGATGATGAAGATATCAATAAACTATTTATTCCTGCAGGTGCGGATGAAAATAAGATCAGCCTTGAAGTAGAAGACAATTCGCAGCTTCTCAAGTGAGTTTTAACTAAGTTTGGTGAGTAGGTTTGTTTTTGGAAAATAACGTTTGATCATATTAACATTTTGTGACAAAAGGGTCAAACCACAGAACTTTTTCCGTTTTTCATAACTTAACGTAACATAGCGTAACAAAATAACGTAACGTAACGAAATCTAATGTAACATATCACAACATAACCCAACGTCACCGAACGAAACGTGACTTGATGTAACGTAGTTGATGTATTTACCTACAATATAATTTATTATCACGCTAAGGAGCATTTTGCATGCTCGTTTAAAAAGCGGGTGTCCGTAAAGCAGGGTTTGACTTTACCTTAGTTTTTACTGGAAAGTAAATTCAATGAACACTCTCCTAGACTGAGCCATTGTTTCGGTCTTCTCTCGACGCCCTCCGCCACGCAGAGTTGAGTCTTGTATAGGAGAGTCTCGGCGAGGAGTATAATTTCATAGTCTAAGTAAAAGTTCTCCCCACTATATATGTATTTGTTTACAGCATCGAGGATGACTTGGACAAGCTACTGACTACAAAAAGCAAGCCTGCAAAGCCAGCTAAACCGGCTAAACCAGAAAAACCCGTAGCAAAACCACGACTTAAGCCGAAACCAGATCTGAAGCCAAAGCCGACTCCTAAACCCAGGTTTGCGGAGGCGGGAGCTGGCGAGGAGGAACTGTTTGGTGGAGGAGTTCCTACTGCTAAGCCAAGAAAGCCGAAGAAACCACCAGTTCCGAAGAAAAAAGCGACGGGTGGAGATGAAGATCTGTTTGTGCACGCAAGAAAGCAGTCTTTCAATAGGTTTGTTTCGATGATTTTTTTTGTGGCGGGGCAGCAGTAATGGCAATGTACTTTCCTCCTAAGAGCGGAAACAGACCATTTTGAAAAATATCCAAATTTTAGTTGATATAATTCCGCAATACTAATCTGAGCACCATCTGAAAGAACGGTCAGAGAGGTTTCATTTGAATGGTCTCACCACAAGATTTCATCCACCGACTCAAAAGTTAGAACCACCGTAGGTATCAGTTAAACAGTACCACACTAACGAAGAACTGCTTAGTACTTAGCCTTCATGCATTGGAATGGTCGCACCTCAGTTATGATTTCGCTGTTCACAGACTTAACTGTTAGAACTACATGCCTTATGTAAAAAGGTCTTCTGCTTGCGGGTCTTAAAAGACCAACAAGCAGAAAATTGCTCATAAATCTCATCAAAATTCAGGCAAGTTCGACTGATGCCAACTTCAGGGCGACAAATCGCCACGAAATATCGCCGTTAGTTTACACGTGCGCATAGTTCTCAGCAGTCGTCCCACTTTAGCCTGCGTGGCAGGTACCGTTTAGTTTTTTTTTTTCAGTTTTTATAGACCGCGCGAGGAGAACACCCCCAACTCTCTCTCTCTCGCTCTCTACGGAGTAGCCTGCGAACGCAGCCGCGTGGAGAGAAGCGACGACCGAAAATGCGTCTGCGTTTGTAGGCCATCTACGTAGGCTATCCCACTTTAATATCGCCTGTTTAACATAAAGGATATTTTTATACTGATATTATTCATGTTATTTGGTAATGCCGTAGAACACCATCACGTGAGGACGAAACACTGGACGACATATTTAACCTTCCTGCAAAATCAGCTTTTACAACGACAGAGGAAGATGACGACTTGTTTAAGTCAACAACATCAGTCAGTGAAGTGGCGGTACAAGACATGAGTGCAGACGATATAGCCAGTTATATTCAGCAGAACATGCCGCAATCAGATGCAAAGCTTGATTTATTTGGTAACTAAGTGAAGTAAACAACAAAAGTGAATGAATATCAAAAGAAGAAACGAACTCAGAGCAAGAGAAGCTTAGCCTGCGTGGCAGGCGTTTGAAAGGGAAGGGAAAGGGAGTTTTGGGAAAGGGAGTTTTAGGCGCGAGAGAAACGCGAGGGGCGCGCGAGGTCTCGCGCCCTAATTCCCTTCCCCTTCCCTTTCGAACGTCTGCCACGCAGGCTAGAGAAGCTTGGCAAAGTGGATCAACTTCTTTGATTGCTTTTCAAATATTTTTCAAAAACATGTACATGCTAGCTTGCATATGGCTAGGGATAAGGCAAGCGAAGCCTGTTCAGTAGGGAAAGAGTTGGTCCCCTTTTCGTCTCTTCCCGCTTTCGCTTCAATTCATTTCGCCTTACCCCTCAAAAGAGGATTACCGTGGATTAATTCTATTATTATTATTAACTCTTTAATTCTTATCTAAACATTGTAGCGTACCTTTTAACTTGGAAAAGTGAAGTAGCTAAATGAATCAGTCTGCCCACCAAGCTATTAAAGTAAACTAAGCCACGCGAGTGGTAACAAAAGTTTATTGAATATTTCTGCCCGCTGTAATTTTTTCCCTTTCACTTAAATGCTGCATCTTTCACTTTTGTGACTTTGAGCTGTGTATCTCGAAAATCATCATTTACACATAATGATGGTAGAGGTAATCATAAAGAGAGCTTAATAGATTGAGCTAAAGATGAAAATAATGTTTTTAGAAATGGCAAATAATATGAAAGAACTTTTGCGGATTTTAGCAGAATTTTTTAATATGTTTGGTATCAATAAGTAGTAATTTTAGAAGCAAATACCAAGAGCAAGAAACTGTACAAACAAAAATTATTAATAATAAACAGAGACAAATTAGACTAGCCTCGTCTTGTACACACTCAGAGGTTATCTAAGTAATTGTCCTCATTTTTTGTTTATGAAGTGGATGAGACAGAAATAGCGTCGAAAAATAGCCAAACTAAATATCTCACTAAAAGAGATTTTTCAGAAAGAAATAAGAGCAATTTTCGGCTCTCTCTTTCTCGTGTTAATTGGAATTTACGTTTCGATGAAAGCGATACTAATGAATGTTATAATAGTTTTGTGAGTGAGTATGTTCGATTATACAATGAAAGCTTTCCATTAAAAACGATAAAACTTAAAACAAAGAAAGTAATGCGCTCCCCTTGGATAACGCAATCTCTGCTTGTTTCTATCAGGAAAAAAGATAAACTCTATAAGCAGTTCATTAATTCTAGGGACTCAACTACTGAGTTAAAATACAAACGCTATCGGAACAAACTGAATCATCTTATAAAAATTGCTAAACGAAAGTACTATGATACAAAATTTGAGAAGGCTAAAAATAACCTGAAAGAAACTTGAAACTAATCAATGATGTAATCAACAAACCGAGCAGAAAAGCAGCTCTGCCAAATTCCTTTTTCTCTGATGGAAAACTGTTAAATGATCCACAAGAAATAGCTAACTGCTTTTGTAAGTTCTTCACCAACATAGGTCCGAATTTAGCAAGGAAAATTCCAGACACACAAGTATCTTTTCGTAGTTTTCTTGGCGCTTCTGTTAATGAGTCGCTTATCTTAAATCCAACTAATATTTCGGAACTAAATCAAATATGCAACTCTTTTAAATCTGGAAAGTCGCCTGGATATGATAACGTTTCAATGGATATAATAAAAAGCACCTTTGATCTCATTTCTCAGCCTTTGGCCAATGTAATCAATTTGTCTCTTATTAAAGGAGTATTTCCTGATGAACTGAAAATTGCTAAACTGATTCCGGTATTTAAAGCTGGTGATTCCCAGTATTTCACTAACTACCGTCCAATTTCGCTTCTTTCTAATTTTTCTAAATTCTTTGAAAGAGTTATGCACAATCGTATTACAAATTTTTTAGATCGTTTAGATATCTTATACTGTTGCCAATTTGGATTTCGTAAAAAATATTCTACAGCGCTGTCTTTAATTCATCTTATTAATAAAATTGCAACTGCTATTGACAGAAGCGAATATACAGTTGGCATATTCTTAGACTTATCAAAAGCATTTGATACTTTAGACCATCAAATACTCTTGTCTAAGCTTGAGCATTATGGGATTCATGGGCTAGCACTTAGCTGGTTGAAAAGCTATTTGTCAAATCGCGTGCAGTTTGTCCAGTACAAAGAGACTTGTTCTATTAGGCTGACTCTGAGCTGTGGAGTCCCTCAAGGTTCTATATTAGGACCATTATTGTTTGTTTTGTATATCAATGACCTCCCTTGTGCTACTCGTCTTGCTGAAACTATGCTTTTTGCAGATGATACTAGTGTGTTTTATTCTAATCCAGATTTAAATTGTGCTATTTCTGCCGTAAATAATGATTTATCTCAAATTGATCTTTTATGAAAGCAAATAAGCTCTCTGTTAACATAACGAAAACTAATTATATCATTTTTGCAGCAAGGCAAAAACCAGTCGGCTTCCCAATAAATCCTGTCTTGTACGATGAGGTTTTATTAAAACAAGTAAAAAGGTAGTTAAATTTTTAGGGGTTTTTATCGACGAGCATCTAACGTGGAAGCCGCATATTACTTATATATGTAAGAAAATTTCAAAATCTATTGGCGTCATGTTTAGGTCTCGTTTCTTTCTTTCTGAAACAACAAAAAGTCTCTTTATTATACCTTAATTTATCCTTATTTAACATATTGTACCACAGTTTGGTCCTCCACTTATGTAACAAACCTTAATAGAATTTTTCTTCTACAAAAGCGAGCAGTACGAATTATTACAAATGCAGATTTTCGCGCGCACTCTGAACCATTATTTTTCCGTTTAAAGATTTTGGACATATACAACATTAATTCATTCTATACTGCACAATTTATGTTTTCATATTATCATCAATTACTGCCACCGCTTTTTTCGAACCTTTTTGTTACTAGTAGCAATATTCATAATTATAATACTAGAAGTTCCTCGCATTTCCGTTCTCATGCCTGCCGAACTAACACCAAACAATTTTCTATTTTGTTCCAAGGCCCTAAAATTTGGAATTCTTTACCAAACTCAGTCACTTCGATTTTTACATTGCAATCGTTTAAAACGAAAGTTTTTGATTTTCTACTATATCGATAATGCGTCTTGTACTGTCCGTTGTTGTGTGTTGTTATAGTTCTATTGCTTAATATTATTGTAACGAGGGGGCCTCCTCGTACAAGCCTTGTGGTTTTCTGAGGTCCCCTCGCCACATCTTTGTATAATGTAATGCTTGTGTAATCTTTATTGTGGGAAAATAATAAATAAATAAATAAATAAATAAATAATTCGTTCAACTTCTTTTTTATCTTAAGAGGAGGGAAAGAGGGATATGTTGTAGGTATTTTTTTATCTCGGGTATTTTTTGTTTTTCTTTTGTTTTTGGGTATGGTAATGTGTGCCAATGAAGTTGAAACAAAATAAAAATTACTCGATATAGAAAATTAACTACAACAGGTATATACCCATACCCTGGATACCACAGGTTTTTTCTCGCGCGTGCGGTCGGACGTTTCGGGAGAGGTGCAGGCATGCAGTTCAGCCCAGGTGAATACCGTAAAATTCCGAAAATAAGCCCCGGGGCTTATATTTTTCAAAGGCCCTTTTTGAAGGGCTTATATACGAAGGGAAGTTTGCGTTTGAAAATCAGCTAGGCTTATACCTGGAGGGAAGTTTGCGTCTCAAAATCGATTGGGCTAGCTTATAGTTGAAAGGAAATTTATGTCAGTAATTTGCAGAAAGTTTTTACTGAAACTCGCCTTGAGGACCATGCAAGTACTTCGTCTCAGTATGGACCGAGGAAATCAAGGCCAACAGTGAAGAGGAACCACGCAAACAGCAATTAACTGTGACACTTTCTGACTACAAACACCTGGCAGACATATAAAAGTTCTTCGGAAAATACAAAAATTTATGTTACTGTACCATTTGTGCTTTGTTTTATTTTGTATTTGAGGGCACTTTCCAATTTCAAGCCCCTAGGGGCTTATATTTGGAGGGGCTTATACATGGAGGGGCCTATTTTCGGAATTTTACGGTATTCGAATATTTGTCTCCACAGTCGCTTCCTGCGAGGTGTTCACTGCCTGCTATCTTGACTTGAACACCGCCTATGATGCTTAGCGATCCCAGTGCGCACCCCGCTAAGGGCGAACCATCTAGCGGCATGAGTTCGTTCGCGGAGGAGGAGGCTAAAATTCATGCTGTTCAGGGCATGGCAGCCTTCCCCCGGAGGAGGCCACGGTACTCCTAAACATTCTGGATAGGTGTGTGCTACAAAACTAACTAATCCACGAACCTTCATTCAATTACTTTCCTAATACTCTAAAGCATACATGAATGTAGTTCAGTTTAAACAGATAATTTGTTTCTAGTAAAGCTGGGAATTTACGCACTTTTATTTTAGCTGATGATACAATAGGCCATATCTGAGTTCCAAAATATTTCCCTTTCAAACAGGCGGCTAAGAGCAACTCCCTTTATTGTGAAAATAAGTGTTATTTGCGTGAGAATATTAAAAATCATATTCAGGCTGACTTCGCAGTTAGCATCGCTTTGACTAAAATGCAAACTTAACAGTCCGTATTTCTGCTTATTCAAGTACGCGCGAACAGTCAAACAAAAGGTCTGGAGCGAGGCTAAAAACAGAGAGCAAGGATAGAGGTAGAGGTAGCCTGATTTCGCGGACCCTTCGCTTCTCTCCCTCGCCGCGAACGACCGCGGATGTCTGAGAACCAGACTCGCCTCACGGGCCCCACGGGAGTGTGAGACTTGAGCGCTTCGCGCGTGTGAGACTCTTACGCTATTCTTTCGCTACCCTAAACCGATTTTGAGAGAAATACCAACTGTTCTGCAGTCTTCTTTGAAACAGAGCCGTTGGGACTACTCGAAAATGGTGGGGAGCGCAATGCCAACAAGGGCAAAATGATATCCTATAGAGATCCCCCAAAACGTTACCCTATAGGGCGGCATATTCCAAGCTATCTAGCCCACATTGACTAGCCTGTGCCAGGCTCTCAGATAGTATAGTGGGAACGTATTAAAACGAGTAAAGCGAAAATAAGACGCGCACGACTCGGGAAAGGGGGCGGTGGCGGCGGGAAAAATGAGAGAGAGCCTGTTAGCATTTCTTTAACGACCCCCTTCCGCCCATTTTTGTCACTTCTGGATTCGGCTGTCAAAACTGTTTAAAACACTTCAGTTAATCACAATCATTCTCAAGTTTCTCGCGTGAGCATTGCACGCGACGCGAACTCCTTGTGCGATGTGTGGAAATTTATGTCTTCGAATTCGTTATCCTGTGAAAGCATCCGTTTTTTTGGCTCTAGTTTATAGCAATAAAAGGGGGCGGTAAGTTTTTTCCTCTGTTGGGTATAGGTAGGTTATATTCTGGAAGGTTCTACATTGTCACTGAGCAAATGTGACTTTAGCCGCTTGTTTCACACTGAGAGGTCATGGCACACATATCGATTTACTGTGGCGTTTGTTTCTGGTAGGCAGGATTTGCCCTCTGATGAGAGAGCATTTTCTTTGACCTCTTTTGAACGTTAAGCTTTTTATTGCGGCTGAATAAGGGTTTTAATTTTCTCTAAAGTGCCTCTGGATCCGACTAACTAAGTGATTTTCTTTAGTCCGTTAATTAATGTAATATTTTTCTGCAATGTTGTATCACGCTGGGCCCAGCTCGTTAGTTTTCTTTGCAGAATGTTAAATTATCACGAATAGTGACTTACAGATCCAGAATTATAAGAATGAAGTGCAGCTTAAACTTAAGCTACATCAACTAAGGAGAATTGCATTGTGATTTAATAAACTCCAGCTTGATAGTGGAAAACAGTGTGAGTCTTTTGACTGGAGCGCGTAATTTCTCCCTTGGTGATAGAGGAATAAGCTTAACAGTCTTTGGACTGTTTTGTTATTGCCACTTTTTGATCAACCAGGACTCCGGATTACCGAAAACAATTTCGCACTTTCCTTCTCTCGCTTTCTTGTCGTCCTCCTCTCCCTCTTCACCGTTGCCAAATAGCTGCGGCCGAAAATCCAAGCTTTTCCAGTTGTTCCACTTGGTCTCGCATCATAGATATCAGCGGCGAAACGACTATTATCGTAGAGTTTTCTAGGGTTAGAGCAGCTTTAGCCAAGCGTGGGAATAGCTGAAAGATTAAACTTTTGCCGAAACCGGTGGGTATAATACCGAAAACATCTTTACCGCGAGCCAAGTCGCAGACACTCGTCTAAAGCACAAGACAAAGCGGACTCATGAAGATCACACGCGCGATTCGCGTTAGCCATCTTGGTGATGACAAACTGATGACCACGCTACTAGGTGATGATGTTAACTGTCACAATTGACCAATCAGAGGGTATATCAGGAGCTGATATACCGGAACTTACCTAGCCTGTGAACAGGCCTTTAGTCGAGCGCTATTTTTCCCCAAACAGAGAGCCTGTTCACAGGCTAGAACTTACCGGAACAGGCCGTTAAAAAAATGCGTACAGGCTCCGCCGCCCTGTCTCTCCCCAGCCCCCGTGCGTTTTTCGCATTTCTTATTACTGAACGACTTTCCACCACCATCTCGGAGCCTGGAACAGGCTAACATTGACATATTAAAAATCTAACTTGACTCCGAGGCTTTGGGTCAAAATTGCAAATTTTTCATGACTCCATCGTCTCGCAATTCCCAGAAGAGACTTGAGCACAAAGAAAACCAAACCAAATATAGAAAAATGAGCAGAAAGCCACGGAGTTCATGTTAGAATATTGCCCAGGGGGTACTTTAGGATTTTTTGGGTCCCGCTAGGACCTGGAATCCTCAGCCTATACCAGAGCTAGTTCAGCTGAATTTTGCTACCCTGTACTAGACTAAACTCCCCAAATCTCTCCTATCCTAGAGTAGCTTTTAGGCTAAGTTGCGTAAATTTAAACACGCCGATTTGATTTTTTTATATTTTTGAGTAACAATTCCTGGTTCCCCTAATCTAGACTAAAATCTTCAACCAATGGATCAGTACGGAGCAAAATCATACCCTATCCGGCAGAGTAAACTGCTTGAAAACCATACCCTGACAGTGGCCACATAGCTATATAGCCCATCAAGAGCCGTTATGGCTCTTGAGCCCATATATGACAGTAACCTCACCCCCTCCCCGCCGCAAAACCCCCAACCCGCCTTACCTCGAAACCCGGGGAAAAAGTATCTAGGAAGCATCTGGGAAGGGACCTGGGTTCTAGAGATTTCGCGTACTCGATACAGCAGCAGAGACTACCAGCGGCCACATAAGAAGAACGCCAACATGCCGGACAGATCAAGGGAAAGAACGAACGAAAGAGGCGACAGAAAAAGAATCAGCTCGGCAGTCGTGGTATCTAAATCCTTCCAAAAAGCCCAGGAGAAACGGTAAGGCTTAGTTTTAGTCACCTGCCTGAATTGAAAACAAACTGCTGGATTGATAATGGGGAAAGAACCTTACATAAACAGCTGCTGAAAACCTAAATTTCTCTTAGCTACATTTTTTTGTTGATTAAGGTTGGTAGCGTCATTGATATCTTGATACTGATACACGCATTAGTTTTCTTGAATGTGAACAGAGTATATCCCGATAATGAAGTTGGGTCAAACGGCAGTGAACTTGATCGGGGATAACGCCATGGATCGGATTATAATGAACTCGTCGATCAATCTTGATGAATGCACCGTCTGGAAAATCCAAACTGTCTACATCTGTTAGTCCTCTTGTAAATTGTGGTTCATGTGAATTTCAGATGGCAAATTAAAGCCAACTAAAGTGGAGTCACGAGAAAGCTTTTGATCCAATCCTCAATTCAAGTTATCTTTGTGATACTTTGCAATATTTTATTAGCGGATAATAAAGGCGGTGCACCCATGTTCATCTCCTGTTGAATTACGGTTTTATCAAATAAGTTGATAAAGTAAATTTAGCACTGTAAAGAGATTCTGAATCTTAACTCAGATGATGAAATAAAAATTTCTGTGTTTCACTGTTTCTGGTTGCAGCAATTGAGTTTCTTTTGAAGCTGACTGCTTCTTATCTTCTTTAGTGACTGTAATTGTAATTATTAAGCCCGGTTTGTCGTATGCCACTATCCTACCTGCAACATGGCCACCAGAACGTACCTCCTTGGATACTAATGAGAATGGAAGTTGCCAGCTAGAGAGGCCATCCCAGTCTTTACTGTTGCCATGCCTGCAAATTTCACTTGAATTTGACATTGCAGGCGTGGTGGCAGAAAGTAGCTGTAATCTTTCTTGTTGCCGGTGGTTTATCTTGCCTTATGATGGAACAGTATCCTAGATAGTACAAACAGTTATGGTGCAGGTAGATTGGCGGTATATCAGAACCAGGCTTTACAATCACAGCGTCCTTGTGTGACCATCTCTTGTCAGCAACAGTCAATGGTGGCAATTGCAAGAAAGTGATTATCAAAACTTTTTTTGTTAGATAGTTGCTTATATTTGACAGTTTTGCTTTACAAAAATTAGTTTGGTCTATAGTCAGTTGCTGAAAATAAATTATTATTTTGTCATATGATTTAAAACAAATCCAGACATTCTCCGGAGCCGAGAAGAGAACGGCGCTATAGACAAAGATCTCCTGATGGAAGCCGTGAAACTGATAGAGGTGCACGTAGAATGCACATGGATCGTGAGGAAAACAGAGAAGGAAGGAGGCAAAGAATAAGTGAACGACTTGGTCCTCGCACCAGAAAAGGTGATGAGCCTGAAGACAATGATGACAAGGATGATCGTGGGTCGAGATGGAAGCAAAGGAACGAGCGATTTTGTAAGTAGGCCTGTGGTACGATTTTGAGGGAATGCTAGCAGTAAACAGTATGTAATTCGGAAGAAGAAGAATTCTAAGACCAGAAAGCTCAGAAACAATTCCAACCTCTGGGCAAAAATCAGACATAAATGTTTTGGGTGGTAATGTATATAAATAATTTTTACAAATAATAACCAAATACTGAAAATGATATTATTTTATTTTTATGGTGTTAATGTTGCTCAAAAATAAAAATAAGTTGGTGTGACATTTTCACGAAATAATATTAACAAATAAAGCCTTTCAAACCTGTAGCATTTAAATTTCTTTTCATTTTGCAGCAAGAAGAGGAAGAAGCCCACCTTCATTTGCCAACCAACAAAGACGCACTGTTTTTGACAGACTGGATAATGGACCTCCCAGAGGAAGAGGCTTTGATCAGAGGATGATTGAAGTTGAAGTCAATCCACAGGATGTCCCTCGGGGAAAACGTTACTTCATGGTATGTTACTGTTTCTAAAGAAACCAACACATGTTGTAGTGTTTGGAAATCTAATGCGAATTATTATTATTTTCTTTTTTGACAGCATGATGACAGGGAGATGCCCCGTCGTCAAAAGTTGGACAGATCAAGAGCACGCTCAAGAAGTCCATTGTGGGTGCATGACAGATTTGATGACTTAGAAGGAGAGGAGGAACAGGTAACAGATCATGCTAAATAAACACATGCATGAAACTACATTTTAGGCCGGGGGGGTACTTGAGGAATTTTTGGGTGGGGATGTGCCGCTGGGACCCTGAAACCCTTAACCTATACCAGAGCTAGTTCAGCTGAATTTTGCTACCCTATACTAGAGTAAACTCCCCAAATCTCCCCTATCCTAGAGTAGCTGTTTCCCTAGTGTAGATAAAATCTTCAACCCACTGATCAGTTTCCTGAAAAATGATACCCTATTCTAGACCCAAACGCTTTGATTTATATACCCTATGCTAGAGTAAACTGCTTGAAAACCATACCCTTCACAGCGGCACATACCTATATAGCCCATATATGACAGTCCCCGGGATTTTAGGAAGCATATCTGACTGTTAACAACTACCCCCAATGATCAATAAAGAAAGATCATGAGATTTATTGTTGTTCACAAATAAAGATGGCAATAGTTTTATTGAATATTATCTTATTGACCATACAGTATGTTCTGGACATTGCTGATCCTAGTGCTCAGTGTGAAGAACACTACCACATATTAACTTTGTAAAATGGTACTATCCTTCATGAGTCTCTCATTGACTCAGTGGATAGGGAATTGGCACGCATGGTGTTTGCGATGTTTTACATGTAGATTCAAGTTCTTTGGGGGACCTGAGATGTAACTTCCTTTCCCTAATACTTGGAAAATGTTATTATTTCGTCTAACCAGGATGCAATGAAAGTCAGTTTTACAGCTTGTACTAGCCCGAAAGTCATTTCAACTATCCTGAAAAAAAGAATTGATGAGCAGGATTGTTTGCAGTTCTTCTGTAATTTGAATTTCCCCCTAAAATCACTTGCTGATCGGGCAAGTTAAGAACAGAATTCACTAGCCCGATAGCAAAATCCACTTGCCCCAGGCTACTGGACACCACCTTCTTTGAATGCTGCTAACTTAATTTACCCCTTTTGTCAAGCCTCTGAATTTTCTGATGCACCAGTTTCTGTGTCTCAAGGTTTTTCCTTTTCTTTTTTTGTCTGAATCATGTTACATCAAAATATATCAAGTAACAGCGGAACCAAGATCTGGAACACGCTTCCTCTGGCCCTGAGGAGCGAGCATGATATAAATATGTTTGGGTTTGGCCTAAAAAGGCACTTTAGATCTAAGCCAAATTGAGCCTCCAATGCTTTCGCTATACTTGGTTGTTCCAATTTTTTTTATCTGTTATTGTTTTTTGTGTTGTTTTTTCTTTTCATCAGGGCCCCATTCAAACCAGCCTTGCTGAACTGGGCACCTCTGAATAAATATTGTTCAAAATTAAAATACCTAAATAAATTAAAATGACATTTTTATTATGATGATGATGACAACAATGATGATGTATTTTATTCATTATAAAATAATTATGTTAATTTTCCTTGATAATTTTTATATTTTGTAGGAAGAAAAAGGTGAGCCTGAAGGTGATGACAAGGAAACAAAAACACAAGATGAAGAAATCAGTCAAGACCAACAAAGGGAAAGAGTCAGACAAAATCACTGGAGAAACTAGTCTTTTTCTGAAAACTTTATCAGTTCAATCTTGCAAAGGGTGTCAATTTGTTAACTGGCAGCCTGGTGAATGGTTTATTGGTGAAGATTGCTGTTAAGTCAAAAGCCTGGTCTGACCTGCCCAGTGTCCTTAAACATGGTGCTGTCAGCTGGCTATTCAAAATGGAAGAGAAGCTAATTTTACTTTGAACACTTTTGTTAGCAAGAAAGTGGCACTTTCAAACATTGTACTTGAAGATTGTCAGGCACAATGAAAGTTGTGCTGAAGAAGAAAAAACACCTTGATGTTGAAGAGCACTGCTAAATACAGCTTGTTTTACCACCATCATTAATTAAAAGTAGATATTTGGCTTTATATACAGAATACCAAGTGTTCAATACTATTACTTCTGCCATCAGCTTTACACAATAGGTTAGCTTAGTGACTACACTGTAGGTTAGATTGGTGCATCATCTTATATACAGTGGTGTTTTATATTGTATTATATGGTTGTTCTGAATCGTGTAGAGGTATCATTCAATGTGCAATTTGTACATTGGTTTCTTTAGTAGGGTTTGCTGCAACAGTAATAAACTTATCTTTATCAGTAAAGCAATCGTTTAGTTTGATTCATATGATCTTCAGCCCTGACTGGTGAGGTATGACTTGTTAATGAGAAAATAATAATAATACAAATCTTTACAGCATATTTCAATAACATGCAACCTCTAAAGTCAACAATTTCATTTTAACGGTTATGTTTATGCTTCCTTTAATCATCTTGACAGATCTTTCATTAAACACGAGGTTTTCTTCAGCAGGTACAAAAGTTCATGTAACTATGTGGGCTATAATTATACATGGAACCCTATTATGATTGACAGTATAGCAAAAATTGTAACTGTTGATTTAATCTTTGACTTTACATGATCACATGTTATTGAAAAGTGCAGTAAACTGGATCGTCTGGAGCTTGGTGTATGTCCTGTTGTAAAGTTTTGGAAGCTTATTGTTTTTTTAGATTACTATTAAACCCAGTGCTGTAAAGCCCCCAAAAAAGGTATTTTGAAACTGAAAAGTGTGTATTCCTGTGTTTGCAATGTTTCTCTGATTCACCGCTCTTCACACTTTGAGATAAAATCTCTATCTCCATGCAGCCATTATTATTATAAGATGAAGCATTGCCTTTGAAGTTATTTTCTTTTATTCTTTATTCTTCTGTTTATGTCATTAACATTGTATTATCTCATTAAGTTCTGTCTTTGTCTGGTTCTCTTGCTCTTTTGGGAATCCACCTTCGAAGAACAACTTCCTGTTGAAAAAAAAAATCAGAAGGAAGTTCACTAAAATTGTGCATCCTGCAAGGCTACACCATAAGAAAAATCAAAGGGAAGCTGGTTCTCTGATCCTGTGAAATTCAGGGTGTCCAGCATAGGATTTCCCAGTCATCCAAGAGCAAAAGGGATCATTACGTATTTCTGGGAAACTGCCCATCTATCCCTCCCTCCTCTAAGCCAACATTTTGCCCTAAGTGAGAAGTGAATGTTAATGTTGGCTTAGGGGAGGGGTAGGTAGGCAGTTTCCCAGAAACGTATGATGATCCAGCAAAAGTAAGGCACCAGGGGCGGGCAACCAGGCACTGCACAAGCACAACCCTGCTGCCCCTGTGTTTGTTACTACCTACAGTAGTGTAGATTTCTGGGGACAGAACAATGTTTTAACACAAACATTGGTGATATCAACTGAGTTGATAAGGTTAGTTTAGCCCGCTTAGTTGCGCTGTCCCCTCACCAAGATACAAATTGGGGAGGGAGTCTTCTGATTTTATTGGGGGGAAAGGGGCAGCTGTACAAAGGCTAGATCTGATTTTACCACTGTAATGAGATTGAAAGGCCGGTGTTTGAACTGCTGGCCTTTTATCAATAAGAGTGAATGCAGAGCCTGTTACCTGTAGGGGGACAACTTTGACTAATTACATGGCCTTGAAACAGTGATATAACAGCTGAATTTGCGACAAACAACACAAACATGGATTGAAACTGTGACAGTGACAAAAAAGCAAATAATTATAGTGTAAGCTCTCGTGATCAGACGCCCTCAGGACACAAAAAAGCTGTCTGTAACTGGAGTTGGCTGCTTACTGGAATGTAAAAATACTGAGTTTGTAAATTGCAAAGGTTATGGAGTGCAGGCGACAATGATAGAAGGTCAAAACGCTTTTGCTCCGCAGCTGTTCTTTGTGTAAGTTTCATGTGACAGGTGGTCAAAACACGCTTGATCAGATTACAGGTGATAGTAGGTCCAGAAGTGGGTGATCAAAGTGTGTTCTGTGCATTCCAAACATTCTTAGTGGAAGTCCTGAATGCTGGCCTCATACATGAGATGCATGCGTAATAACAACTTGGAGATTAGGATTGCAGGCACCAAGAGGAGCCTGCAAAAAGCAGGGTCTTGGGCAGGAGGCTGTAAGTAGGGCTGTCTGCTTACTAGGATGTCGGTTAGGAACTTCCACTGTACAATGTTAAAAAGGGGAGAGGGACATAGGTTTTGAAACTCAGACTAGGGACATATGTACCCCCTCCCTCCTTGGCCCAACCCCACATAAAAAGGCCTCCTTACAGGCTTATAAGTTAGCCTGGTGGGATAAGTTAGCTGGTGGGATTTGCGGGTGAGTGCTGTTTGTGTTTTAGTAGCGGAGATTATTGAATTTCCCTTGCAGCTCCACTTACTGCAAAGAAAGTACCCCGCACACAACAGTCCTGTTGAGCTAAGCAGGCTATGGCTTACTTCCCTAAGGGTTACACAGAGTTACATGTACCAGAGAAAATTACCTGTAATTTAAATCTTGGGATACAATTTGGTGACATCATTTCTTCTTTGGTCATATCTACTTACAATAATATGAAAAAGAAACAAAAAAAGAGCATGAATTGTCCAAGCATTAGTGTTTATTGAATCAACATTTGTTTTAAAAGAATTTGCAGTGTAGCCCTTGTTCTTGTATCTGATGAAGATAGAATACGTGGGCAAATGTTTCAGTATTCTTGAAGCGCCTTAATTAATCTGCAGCCTTGCCCAGAGTTTTTGTAGGTTTAAAGAGGAAAGTTGTTTCCCTGAAAACATGCTTACCTGATGGTTTAATGACATAACATATCATCACTTCCTAAAACCAACAATTTACTATAATTAGAATGATCCACTTTAGCATGAGATAAAAAATACTTTGAGTTCAATTTAATTTTTTAGTTATTACACATGAGAATAAATGGCGTAAAAAGTCTACATACTGCAGGCAACTCACTTCTTAGGTAATGGCTGCATTTACAGACATGTACATGTAATAACAGCTCTGTCAAAATGTCTCAGCTACTGGAAACGTTGCTACCTCAGTCACTTATTACTTTAATAAGCTGCTTATCTCCTCCAGTAGACCGGGGTGACTTGGTATTAATATTTTGCTGCCTATTTCTCTTGCTGGCCTTTAATTTTAACCGCCGCCTGGTTAGCTCAGTTGGGAGAGCGCCGGTCTGCTGAGCAGGAGGTAGCGGGTTCAAACCCCGGCAGGACCAACACTCAGGATTTTTAAATGACTGAGAAGAAAGTGCTGCCTTTGTAATGACATCTGCAAATAGTTAGACTTTCTAGTCTTCTCGATTAAGGATGAAAAACCGAAGGTTCCATCTCACAGCACTTTCACTGTTCTTGTGGGACGTAAAAGAACCCACACCACTGTTCAAAAAGAGTAGGGGATGTAGACCCTGGTGGTGTGGCCAACCTTCACGGGTTGTGGGATTGGGTAGGGATGGCACCTTGCATGGGACCTGTGAGTCCCGTTTGTACCTATTTCCTCTGGGCAGGCATGTGTCCAGAAAAGCTGGTAAAAAAAAAATTGCCATTTTGACAGGGCTGGTAATAGTCTGTAGTGTTTAGGATTGCATGTGATCCTCCTTGGCAGCTTGCTTAATATTCTTGAGGGCTGCTAACACAGTTGTAGAGGAAGGCTGCCAAACATGAAAGAAAGGGAAAGGAAGTGAAAAATGAATTCAGAGTTATGACAGTTTGGTGTCTCACCTTAGCAGCATGGCCACTTACACGACTCACTCCACACAACTGAGGCCATGATAGCTGCCTACAAGGACTGCTGTTTTTATCAACTTCCAGTGATTGTGAGTCAACCATTTGGACAATAACTGAATAACTGAAAGAAAATGGGTACACTTGATATTTTGATTTGATTGAAAAAATTATTAACTCAAGATAGACTAAGAGGGGAGGGGGCAGCTGTACAGAGATTCAGAATCAAACAGGAAAAAAAAGATATCTGATAAATTAATGAATGTGCAAATTTTATTTATGTTTTTAATGTGCAAAAATTACAAAAACTCTTACCTTGAGTGGTAAAAGGGCATGCCCTCTTTGTAAAGAACTGAAAAAAACCATATTCATACTTAACAAATACACAAAGAAAATTTAAGTTGTATCCAGCAAATTTAAGAATCTCTTGAATTTGGCTCTTTGCTTAATTCATTCAGTTACGTTCCAGACATTTTTGTTGCCTAATGGCTGTTTTTGAACCTTACATTATTGTTTTCTTTTTTTAATCCCAGGCTCCCTACCCCTGCTACTGGGTTTACATTATCACCTCAAGTTTTAGACAACTGCCTTAAGGATGTTGTTGAGACATGCACAATGTGTATACAAAAAGTGCTTCTGATCAATAATCTTACCAAAATCTGTTGCATACTTGATTCCTATCTTAGGCACCCAGCCTTTTGATCTGAAGTAGTGATAAGTTATATAACTTGGAAGGAAATTTCTTTTAGCAGTGCAAAATGAACACCACATTTCACTCAAGGACATGGGCTTCTATTATAAAAAATCAAAACAAAATGGTCGATTAATTTGATATTTTAACAATTTGATCAAATAAAAGGCTAACCACCTCAAAATATTAGGCCATATTGCCTACCTTATTGCTATTCAATACTGAGAGACATCCAAGTCCGTAAGAGAGGAAAAATGCCTACAAGATAAACTGAATTAGAAGTCAAATTGCATCAGATAAAGTTGTAATCTTTCACTGGTTCTTCTCACTGAAAGACTGGAAAATTTAATAGAAACATTGTAGCTTACATACAAATAGACAAAAGGATCAGGAGAACTACAAGAGTTTAAAACATACACCTATACTACATCTACTAAACTCCTTAAAAACAGAAAGTTACAGAACTGAACAAGAATATTAAAGAGACAACAGGCTCCATGTCTCCTCTCACAACCCTAAATATCAGTCAAGATAACTCACATAGTTTTAGAGTGTGAGTTATATGTTTGGGCTTACAGTTAGGCATTTACTTCATGTACTGGACACAGATGACAAAAAAACAAAAACAAAAACCATGAAACAAAACCAAGCACTGATTTTTCCCTGAACAGAAAACCAAGAGGTCTTTTGTTTTACATCATCTGTGGCCTGTACATGAAGTTTTGATCCATACATGTAGTTAAGGAGTTATCTGTGTATATTAAATCTATATTTGCCTAATTTCAAAGCGAGGAGGGCTGGGTATGATTCAGTTTATTATCGGAGACACTAGCTATGTAAGCTACACTAAAATCCGAGGATAAATAAAGTTTATGTATGTATGTATGCATGTATGGGATAAACAACATGAGACCCGCATAGTCAGGAAAAGCTCATTGAGATGAGGAAATATATCAAGTTTGGTGTTGATCAGGCCAATACTGAACAAGATATAGCTATTTAAAACTTTGAAAATTAATAAGAGATGTATAGAGTACTGGTCTGGACATCTCTATATTTCTTAGTAAGTTCTGAAGTTTTTGACTAGCTGTATCTCGTTTAATATAGGCCCGGTAAACACCAAACTTGAGAATACTGCTAACCTCAATGTGCTCTTTCTGACTACAAGGGTCTTGTGTTGTTTATCCCATAATAAAGTGAATAATTGTACCCGGCCTTCTCCCTTGGTTTGAAACTAGGCAATACTTAATAAACTTTGAAAGTTTTACAAACCTCCTCCAAACTCAGTTGCAGATGCTCAAAGACTTTGTAAGGGTCTTCTTGCTTTTTGCCTTTGCTTTTAATTTGTGTTTGTTTGGTATCTTCATTCACTTTTTCAGACTTCTTTTGATTACTGGTTTGAAAGACAATAGATCAATATTACACCTGTACTATTTAAGTGATCATCCACCTCCCATAAGCGACTACTTCTCTAAAAGACCAAATTTTTCTCGGTCAAAGCCCTATTAAAGCTAGAACCTCTTGTAAATGACCAACCCTCCTAAGCAATCACCACCACTTCTGGGGCTCACGATAGAAAAATGTTCCATTTTTTAACCACTTGTAAGAGTCCACTTTATGCATTGGTGTAGTCTCTTTTTTGCTAAATGTACTTAAGCCACTCTGAGTATGCAAAAAAACTTTCAATGCCAACATGGAACTACAAAATAAATATATCACACTTAGAAATTGCTTGCGATTATTTCTCTTCCAAAAAGCACATGTGTCAGAACCATTTCTCGGAGAGAGCCTATGTAGTTCAATATTTCTTGTAAGCAACCACCTCCAGTAAGTGACCACTAACTCTTTGCATTTTATGTGGTCGCTTACGGGAGGTTGAACTATATATTTTCATCTATTTTATTAACACAGGAGTTCCCCAATCACACTTCACTCTTCATACATGTACCCTAGCTCTACTGGACAACTCTTCTCATATAGCCAAATGAAATAATATGGTATTTAGGGCTTATTCAACACCTTTTCCTCATGACATCATGAACAACCTCTTCCAATTCTCTGTTGGTAACATCTGCATCAGTGTCTTCCCCTGAGTTACTTTTGGTAATATCTTCATCATCGCTTGAGTTTACGCTGATCTCTTCAGTACGGCTTCCATCCTGATGATCATGATGAAGTTCACTAACCTCACCACAAAAAATGTCCATTTTAATTCTTTTCGGAGATGGACTTCCATCCTCTTCATTAGGAAGACTTTCAATATTTTCTGAATCAACAGTAAACTCTTGATGATGTTGTGGACATTCTATGCAAGTATCTACAGCCTCTTCAGCTTCTTCACACTCCAATTTCAAAGGATCATCTGTAAGAATTGCACCATTTATCTGTTCCCACCATTGCTTATGATTTTTAAACCTGATAATTGAAATTAAAGAGGTAAGATTTAAAAAATGAATATTAATAATGTAATCCCAGGTCAAAAGAAACTAATATAAGGTTTAAAAGCCAATTTTGTTGTACATCTACATCTACAAGTTTCCAAACAAAAACTAAATAAATAAAATAAAATGAAATAAAAATTAATAATCACAGAAAGTTAAAAGTCAGCAGATCAGCCAGATTACGTAAAAAAAGCATTGCAGCAAGCTTAAAATATTATTGGCAGTGGAATCAATGTCTAAAATATTAGGTGGTAGAAAGTTAACAATTTCTTACCGTTCTTTTTTTACAACTCGAAACTTTGATTGTCTGATTTCTCTTTCTTTTGGTGGTACTATGAGAAATGGAAAACATATGGCTAAAATAAAAATTGTTATTTATAATTATAATAATTACAAAGTTATTATATCATAGTAATCAATAAAATGATCAATTAAAATTAACAATTCTCTGCACTTACATCTTCTTAGTTTTTCAGACTTTGAAAAAGCCTTTTGTGAAATATTTGAAATCACTTCATATTCAGGTTTACTCCTTGATAGGAAACCTTTACCAAAGAAACCCTGCAACATAAAAACACAGTACGTGCGCGTTCCGTTTAAAAGTAACAACACCAAAAACATCAGACAAGGCTTGGGAATGAAATAGGAATTTGCACTAAAAAGGCATAGAGTTACTTCATATTTTAACCCTAGTATATCAAATGTGGTGAAAAGTAAACGTAAATATACCTCAAAGTTATGATTTACTTAATCCCTGGAGACTTACCATCCTATAGAGAAAAGTAAGGTCGCCTAGATCTTCAATTACCACACAATTATCTCTGAAATGTCCAGTGTAATAATACCATCTTTCACTACAAGGCTCTTTGGACGTGATACTTTGAATGGGAACAGGAAATGGAGCATCTTTTGGGTGGGATTTAGCACCTTTCTTGCGACGAGGAAAACGAAAACCTGTGTCCGCCATCTTGATTATTGATCGCAGGCGCGTTAAATTCAAGCTAAGTACGTCATGTATGCATATATTCAAAAGTATATCCGCTGATGCTTTGCAGATTCAAAAATTCAAAATGGCGGTAAACTCAACGGACTGAAAGAGACTGACAATGCAAGTCTCTCTACTTTAATTTGTCGCTTTGAGGCTAGTACACGTCAAAGAAGAAAAGATTTTCTTTACCATGACTACTGGAGACCTAAAAAACAACCTTCGAAAGTTTGTTTCAGAGCTGAAACAAGTTCACTTCCCTCAAAGTGAACTTGACCTCAAAGGAATTGCGCAGGGAGTTCCAAAAGCGTTTCTTCCAGTTGTTCATCATGTCTTTCTGGATTACTCAATTTCTTTGGCCCAGTACTTTGCCAATAAAGAGTACGACCTGTATGGGAAAACAGATTCGAGGTTCATGGAAGCTGTATACAAAGTTCTTCGAGACGAATTTGGTTATAAACCTCAAATTACAAAAGAACAGTTTCTTACAATCGGCTTTGCGGAAAGAAAGATCCTCTCTCTTTGTGAAATTCTGAAGCTTCTGAGAGGAAAACATGATGAGCTTAATCCCAAAACCAAGAGTGAAAGAAAGCGGGGAAGGAACATTTCACACCTGACCAGTAAAGGTACCACGGAGAAAGAAAGTTCTTCAGTTATTAAAGACGTTGTAGCCAGATATGATTACTTTCCTGGGCCACTTCCAGTGAATACAGACATGAAAAGATTTCAGAGCAACAAAGAAGCAACAGAAGCTGGCTTGGGGTTAACAGAACCTCTTGTAACTCGAGTGATTCCTGATGAGGATCATACCATTATGAATAGTGAAGATGCTACAAGATGTTGCTCTAAAACAGCTGGCAAAGATGACAGTCATCAAAGCAGTGGTACTGTTCCATCAAATTTGGTTGTTAAATCTGTTAGTGATGAACGCTATTTTGGTGTTAAATTTCCGGTGTCAAGAAACCTAGAAATTAGATCAAATTTTTGTCAACAGCCTCAGTTGAACTGGATTACTGGACATTCTCAGGGGAAGTCAGTAACTAGGGAGGATCAATTTACAGAATCTCAACCCAAGCAAACCAAATCAGCAGAAGCACTTCCCTTAGAAGTTCCATTATCCTTTGGACCAAATCCTTCAATCTCTGTACCAGCAAGAATTCACACCATTCCTTATTCAGAGAGATCAGTGTTGTCTTATCCAATGGACTTGGATACTACTGTCAACGTGCGAACAAGGCCTCAATCTATTCCATCACCAGTATCCATGACAACAGCCCCTACACCAAGTCCTGACTTGATGCTTACACCTGTCATTAAGGGAGTTCATCATTCCACTGTTCCTATTTTAAGCTGCCAAAGAGAGTCAGATTTACAGGCATACAAAGTCCCAGTAGTAGAAGATAACCTTCCAGCCACAAAAGTTTTACGACATTCAAATTCATCTGAAGCTGTTTCAAATGTTGCTGTTTCAGCACATCCATCTTCAAGTGCTGAGAATGTGACCCAGGTTGTTGTCCTCAAACAACTAGTTCAGGAATTACAAGAGAAGTTTGATGCTATGACCTTGTTAAACAATGAAATGTCAGCCCGAGTGGTGCTTCTGGAGAGCAGAATGAAGCTTCTTGAAGAAGCCTGTGAGAAAAAACCATGCTGTTCTTGTAATAATCACCCACCAACAAGCAAAGAGAGTACTTTACAAAAAGACATTGTGGCAGTTGTGTCTGGTTTTAATCTTCATGGTGACAAAAATTTAGCTACAAATGCATTGACAAATGAAGAAATCAACAATCATACAGGGAATCACAAAACTGGGCTTAAGCAAAATACCACTAGTAGGAAACTGTTTAAAGAAATAGTAACATCAGCTGGCAGTGGAGGTAACGCAGTTTTAGAGTCGTCCCATGACAACACACCATCTACTTCGGACAAGTCTGATAATGACCATGATGATGATGATGATGATAAAGAGAATAAAATAAACTGTGAAGAAACACCAAGCAAAAGTAAAACTGTTTCATCAAGCGAGCAAGATGACGTTATTGTTATTAGCCCACTTCCGTCAGCTTCAAAACTTTCAGAGGTTTTTGCTGACTCCACAACCAAGAACACAGTAGTGAATGTTCATAAGAGGCTTCAGGAGACAAGAGAACTACTTGCAAGGACTAACAGGGATTTTGCAGCAAAATTTAACCACTTCCAACTTGAATGATATTATCTGTTTAGTGTGAATGATTCTGAAGGGACATGACAAGATCATTTTATTGTTTACAAATTCCGCTCATCAAGGAAGTTATGTCCTGAGATCACAATAATTCAGCACTCAGTTATTGAGCTAACAGGATCATAACCGACATTGATTACTGCACATTCATACACCGTAGGCTGCAATAAATTCCCTATGCTGCCAATTGAAACCTTTTTACCCTGGTCAATGTTATTCTTGTCTTATGACTGAAAATATCAAATTAGGTTGTCACCACTGAAACAATAAAATTAATTTAACATGCATGCAATCACATTGTCAGCGTATAAGAAAGTCGTGTCCGATAGGTTGGGGCTAGTGGATTTTGCTATCAGGCTAGTGAATTCCATTATTAACTTCCCAATGGGCAAGTGAAGTTTTTTGAGGAATTCAAATTACAGAAGAACGGTGAAATCAATCTGCTCATCAAAAAGTTTTTGGGGCTAGTTGAAATGATGTTTGGGGTAGTAAATGTTAGCTTCGGCTTGCCAGAATAGCAAGCTGTAAAAGTGACTTTCTTTGCACCCTGCATTTGTGTTATTCATATACTCAGGCAAATTACAGGTACTGAATGAGTGCAGATACAAAGATTCCAGTGTTTTAAGAGCTTAACGTTTTGTATTACTTAAATTTGACCATGTTTGAGTCTTTGGGCTTTAGTGCAGTGAGTTCACAAGTTACATCATGGCTTGCATGCATTAATAAATAAGAATGTAGGAATTGCACAAAATGTGTAACTTGGGGCTTGACTATATGCATTAACTTCTTAGGTTGAAGTCTATTTGCTGTTTCACTGTTTGCTTTACAGAAAGCATAAGTCTTGGAGGAATAGATGACACAGACATAAACTATTGCCAAACAACTGTGTTATGATAACAAACTCACAAGTATTGTATTCTTTGACAGTGATAATAGAAAGAGTGAATTAAAATCATAACTAGAAATATTGATATGCTGCATCTTTAAAAGTTATAGTCATGAACAGTAAAATCACTTTTATTGAATAACTTACAAGTTTAAACTCACCTACTGTATAAAAAGTAATGGTTTGGTATTACAAAGCTGATATACATTTACATGTCACGTTGTTTGTAGGTCTTTGCTTGCAAAGCAACAGTAACATTGGAACAGTAACAAAGTAAATCTAAGGTAAGAAATAGTATAGGAAATAACAACAGTAACTAAATTGCAGATACATTGTGCTATCAGTAATACACTTACTAACCCATTGTTTTAGATAATTTTTACCTGCATCTGACCCTTTCTTCTTCCTTTACACTATCAAAGTACCAATAATATTATTGAATATAATATAGCTATAATCTTGTAATAACCATTCTAATAGGCCATTTCCGAGTTGCCGCAAGCCTCTGTTTCAAAGTGAGGCTAAGTACAAAGCCATTAATAAGAAAATGATTTTTTATTCTCATGCAAATAAAACTCATTTTCGCAAGAAATATTTTGCGCTTAGCCTTATTTTGAAAGTGAACGTTTCTGGAACTCAGTAATGGCCAGTTTTAAATCCTTGATCTTAATGGGGTTGTTTCCAAGGTTTCAGGTACTCTTCTTTTTGAAATAGTCAGACAACTACTTAATTGCCCTATTCTTGACAATAGATCATTAAACGTAAGGAACCATCTCTGTCACAGTTTATGACATGTCTTTTCATGTTAACTAACATTAGGTAGTTGTCTACAAGATGTCTAAATTGATCAGAAAAAGCCTTAAAGCCTAAGAAATTATTCAAAGTAGACACCCATAAAAGCAGAAAACCTTCAAGACAGAGGAAAAATTAATGTTAGTGACTGTCACAGAAAGCTGTTAATAGGACTTTTTTATACATGTACTTTTGCATGTGCTAGAATCTTATTAATAAATAGAATATATTAATATAATTATTTTTATATTACAAAATACCTTTGAACAAAAAAATGACTTTATATGTACCCGTTGTGATTTGAATATAGTCTTTACTCTGGAGGTTACAGTGGTCTATTGTAGTGTAGACAAAATACAAAGACACATTGAAATCACAACGTATTAAATTTGTTAACTAGTGTTTTCTTGAGGTGTCCATTCTGAAAAACTCTTAAGTCTTAGTGGTTCTTGATCATCATCATCCTCTTCTTCATGCTGGTAACTTTGTTTCTTATTTAAGCCACAAGCTTGAATGGTTTCCTCTGCTTTTTTAATTCCATCCAGTTGTATATGTGGGTCGGGAATGACAGGATATATAACGGCAGGGCTGGAATATAAACAGAAACCATTTTACATGTCAGTAATCACTCAACAGAATGCAGGCCTTCTAATAAGGTGTGAAAAAATTGTCAACTTTGATGCAGCAAATTATGCTATTTCCCCAGGCTATTATTTTGCTTAGAATACCTACTGTCAGTAGTTCACAACGACTTTAGAAATTGCAGAATTTCTACATTAGAACATTTGCATGGTACTATTAAAGATTATATTCTAAGGGATTTACTCAAAGAAAGGTCGTTGTTCCTTTGCAAAGTTTTCTTTTGTTCACTATTATGAAGCAAGGGTTTAATAAATTAACCAGTCACACAGGATGTGTATCAACTAACCATATAATAAAGTAAGTTAACCAAGACTCTGATGCAGTGAAAGGAAATTTAACTGAGTTAACAACAAAGAGCAACTGATATGGTCATGGCAGTCAGCAGCAGCAGAGTTCAGCACTTGCTCCCAGCTTTCTAAGTTGTAGCTCCAAAGCACATTTTCAGTTCTTTTCTGAGGAGTGCATTGTTTGTTTTCATTTTTCATGCCCCTTCCCATCCCTTTATTTTCCACCATAAAATCAGTTTGACTATTGCCTGGAAGACTCTGTGTGCTGCGGGGGTCATGGCTGGGTTGCGAGGATTGCCAGCCAGGGGCGGGGGGTCTCCGTCTAGGGGCCAGCTGGTGACATTAGAGGTCCCCAGACATCCCAGGCACCCATTTTCCATACATTAATGCACTGCAATTGTTAACAGTAGAATAAATGTACTTACGCTATTTTATTTTTCATTCTCCTGATAGTTTTGTAGTGACTAAGTTCTGGATGCCTGCGTTTCCGTGTTATCCTGCACGAATAATAAGAGTTTACTGTGAGTTTTGACGATTTCCTGCATGATGGTTTTTTTCAGTCATTGCACACTTGAAGTACAGAGAGATTGCAGAGGCCAAATACTGTCAACACATTATTACTGATTAAGATGAAAATATCTCTGCACAAAGATATATTTGAATTCTCAGTACTTAAATGGAGAGGTCTAATATTACAAGCAGCCTCTATTTTGGACCTCTGCTATACAAGTGTACTTTCTTAGAGAAAAATCACAGTAACAAGGAAATAAGATGGGAAGTGATTGAGCCTTGTACATTAAGGCTGGAACGGGTGCAAGCCTTGAGTGACCTGTGGCGTAAAGTCAAATTTACCTAATGTTTCACAAGCCATCAGAGGGCAATATTTTTATGTTGGGATTACTCCAAATCCAGGGATTTTTAGCCTGCGCAAACAGCCCTCTCTCCTCCCTCCTCATTCTTCATGGCTAGGGATGTTCCGTCTTTGATGTCTCTAGAGATGAGGAGAGACATCTGTTTTCGCAAGCTAAAGGGTTTTATTTGTAGCTGTGACTAAGGTCTTAAAACTTGGACCCAGGCCATAATCCTAACATCTTCAGTAGCAGCCACATCTGCACTGGCCTGCAAATTAAACCCAGCACAGTATGTTACTATTAATAATGACCTGCGCCATAACTTTTGCCAGGTCTGCAATGTATTTGATGTCCAAGTCCAGCTGCTCATAGCAATTCCAGTGCCAAATAATGAAGCCAATTCAAGCTCAATAACTCCTAGATTAGGACGGTCGCTAACTGAACAGTGTGACTTCCATGTTAGTCCTTCAACAGCTTTCTCTGCAATACACCTTTGAAAGGAAAGTGTACAGCAGGTAAGAGTAACGTAACATTACTATTTTAATGGTAATGCAGGGTTGTCAAAAGTAGCGGGTTGCCGGCGAAAATCGCTGCCTACTTGGTTAGCATTGGCCAGCTACTCTGCTTGGCATTTCTTTGTGGATGGCGTTTTTTATGTATATATCCCTGGACTGGCCGCTTACTTTGACAACTCAGCCATCTACTTCAAAACTTTCTGACAACCCGGGTAATATGTTATTACCGTATTTATTCGACTATAAGCCGATCTCGGCTATAAGCCGAGACCCCCTCTAGAGCCCAAATTTTAATTCACTTCAGTTTTAATTTGTGTAAAAATCGCTCGGCTTATAGTCGAATAAATACGGTAAATCTTACCAAAGGTTAAGATTAATTTATGATTTATTGAATTGGTTCATGGAATATAGGCTATGAGGGACTTTGATCTGACACAAAAAACTCCCTGTCATTTTATTTTAGAAGCCCAGTCAAAAGAGTTTTGGAGGAAAAACTATTGCTGTTTCCCAGAAGTCACTAAAGGATTTTTTTTTGCCAAAACTCATCCAATTTAACTAGATTGTAGTTATCTTAGATAAATCCCGAGTTGGCAATGGTATTAACTAACAGCACAATTCCTGCACTTACTTGATGAAGTTAAAGTAGCTTTTTTCCCAACTTTCCTGGTTGTGATATTCATAAACATGGCATGCAAAAGTTGTGAAGACTGTCAAAAATGAGATGAAGGAAAAGATACCTAACAAGCATAAAAAAAAATCATTATTTGCACAGACTGTTTTCAAACAACCTTTTTGAAAAAAAGAAAAAGGAAAAAAATAAACAGAGAGAGAGAGAAGGTACATCCAATCACAAGGAAGTGAATGGTTGGGTAATGTATTAAGAGCAACAAGCAGTTTGCATAATAGCAGATAATGCAGAATTAAGATGATAAAGGTTTACCTGCTGAAGGAAAAAGACAGACTTACCCATGGTTGAAAAAAAAGGGTTTGACATATCAGATCACTTATACATGTAATAGAATGCTGACAAAATATATGCCTCGAGCCATAGGATTTTTGATAGTTGACAACAAACAGTTTAAATCACAGCTTTTCTTCTTACCTACTCTTATTATAGTTTCCTTTATTTTGTAAGATGCTCTGCTGCTTAAAAGAGTGGGATTTGATCTTCGTAACTTAAAGAGAGTTGCAACTCCTACCAAAAGAAGGAAATTAGAGTAACAATAGGTAAAAGACGAAGATCTGAACACGGTCAGGCTTTGCAAGGGAGGCAAACAAAAACATACACCAATGCTCTCAAACGGGACATACACACTGTATGTCTTATCTTTGCTGCAGTGTTGAGGGCAATATTTGATAGATAGTGGCATATGGTGCAATGTTGTAGCCTGAGAAGACTTGAAATGAAGATGATGATGATGCTGCTGATGAGATATACGGTAAGTAGTTTTAGACCTTTGTCACTTGGCATCCATTTTGTCTCAGGAGATATAAGCTTTGTCTATGTATGGCTAGCCTCGTTCTCTCTCAAGGCTAGACGTGCATAAACAAAGCTTTTTAAATCTCCTGAGACAAAGTGGCTGCCGCGTGACAAAGGTCTATTCCCATCAGAACATACCATACATAGACTTAATGAATTTAAAAAAATGATATTCGTGTCCATCTTTAGGAGATCTCTTTGTTTCTTAATTATACTTCAAAAGAGCTACAATGTATGTCATGGTCATGCACTTTTTTGAGCCAAAGCTGGGCTGAAACCTTGGTCATCTTTTTTTATTGCTGGTCTTCTGAGTTCAGTTTCATGCCAATCAACCTCTCTTGGCTGTCATGCAAAAGCTAAGAAATTCAAGCATACTCAATCACAAAACCAAGAACCTTTTTGAATTTGTATGAAAATTAGTTTTCAGCTGCTCTAATGCATCATTAAAGTAAAAACCTTGTCAGTTTTTGTTTGTTTTTTCACAATACAAGGGTTGAACTTGGAAAAGTGGGTCCAACTTTTTCACGTTGCAAATCCATTTCCTTCCTGATTTTGCAAAGCAAAGGGCATGCATTCATAGTGTAGGTAGAAAATTGGTTGATTTTAAATAAAATTGACTCATTATTAATTTTTTGGGGTTTTATTTAGGCTCCTCCGCAGGCTTCACTGTCCTCTTTTAGAGAACAATTTTTTTCTCCTTTTCTCGTCCTCAGATTCCTCATGGTCAGTGTAACCATTGCAAAAGGAGTTGCCTGAAAAGGAGGCTAGGTTTTATCTGATTTCAATGTTATTATGGTTTCAAAGCCATATTTAATAAATTCTGACAAAGCTTCTTAAAAACTACAACATTGTACCTTTTATCAAAAAGAGTCCTCCAATTAGTAAATCAGTACCCAAGGGTACCAACAAAAAACCCACTCTCATTCTGGAATTCTTGTAGCCAACAAAGCAGATTCCACTTAGTGAATTTGCATCAACCTGCAAATAAAATATTAAGTTCAATGGTAATATTAACAAACTGTCACAACTACATTAATACCCCTTCCCACCTCTCCTCCTTCCCCCCTTTACTCCACCCCACGCCTACTCCCACAATCACCAATATTATTTTTTTAAAAGTGGCAATTCAAAATCGGTTAGCACTTTATTAGTGATGCTGGGTTTAACAGTAATCACTGAGTATGTGATTACCGTTAAAGTTACTTGTAAGACTGATTTAAATGCAACATTTTTGCATCTGACATCATTGTCAAAGCCTGTGACCTGAGTTGTGTAAATCAAACCTACAGGATATAAAAAACTGCAGTTGTCATAGGTTTGACTTACATGGTACAACTCATCATCATAAGCACAGATGCATGTGACAAAAGTTGTAACATAAATTGGCCTTAAGAAATTTGTAATAACAACGGAGTGCATTTAATAAGGCTTTAAGTGACTTTTGACTAATATATGTCTCAAATTCTCCCTTTGAGTTACATTTGAAGGAGAGTCTAGCTGTAATCAGAAGTCACTTGAAGCTTCAATTGAGGCACCTCCCACTCACATGTCTGATTGTACCTGTTTTAGTGCAAGAATGCTGACTGTCCAGGTCAGAGGAAGAATCCAGGCTACTGCATGAAAATAAACCACTTTACCAGCAAAGTTGTCTCTTGTGCTACCCAGGGATTTGAAGCAGATTGACCAGGAATAAGAGAGGATAACAAACCACACAGCACCCACCATAGAGAAATAGTAAACCAAGACAAATGTAAATATACACAGGAAACAGTCATCCTCACTGCATGGAAGAAAAAGGTAATCAACAGTTAGGAAGAGTTATTTGGCTGATGCAGCAGCTGGCAGTTACCCACCCTCCCACTGGGCATTTTTAGGGGAGTAGTATTTTCTCCCCCACTACAGGAGAAAGGAAATAAGGATCATTTGAGGTTTCTGGGTAACTGACCACCTACTCCTCCCCAAGTCAAAATTTTGCCCCAAGTGAGAAGTAAGTGTTAATGTTGACTTAGGGGAGGAGTAGGTGGTCAGTTGCCCAGAAAGCTCAAATGATCTGGAAATACAACTCCCCTAAAAATGCCTGTTTATATGAGACTAACTAGCAGTTGGTTGCTCCATACAGCTGTTTTCTGGTCACCATCTAGCCTAAAAGAACCAAAATTAAGCAAAACATTGTCGAAAAGTGATTCATGACTTTGTTCCTGCTACATATAAAAACTTTCAAAAAAGCACCTTCCCCTGAGAGCATCTCAATCAGGTTTCAGTTAGGGTAGACTCAGTGCTTTGGGGTTTTTTAAGGTAATTTATTAAGGTACAGAGTACACATGGTTTTTGCTAAAAATTTACCTCGGTTCCTGAAGTCTCATTGTATCATCTCTGCGACAAACTGTACGATTTCTAGCTCCATCAGTGAACTGGATAAGAAAACCCATTGAAGCAGCACAGAAACAAGCATTCATGTAAAACAGAATTACTGATGGATAGCGATTCTGTGACTTCCATCCAATTAGGAATGTGATCTAGCAAAAAATAAAAGAAATTAATGTCACCATGACGTCATTATCAAGTGACAAGATAAAAAATATATATAAAATCAGACTTAACATCAAGACATTGTGTCTAACTCTTTTTGCTAATTTTTATTCTTAAGTGTATAATGAAAATATTTACAATTTGATTCAAATCATAGAAAGTCAACTTAAAAGAAAGGCAGGTACCAACTCCACGCGTAGAGGGGGCCGTTATAAGAGAGGGTTGATGACATACCATAGTAAAAAGGCTGCATATAAATGACAGGCTTCCAAATGCTCCCACAAATCTATGAATTCTTGTGTGTTCCACAGTTGTAAATATGGGGTTCTCACACTGTATTCCACAGCCCTCTATCCCCTCATACCAGCTTGAATTATGCTCTGTCTCTACCAGGGGTCGCTTACATGCAGACTCATTGAGCTCTAACTTTTTTACCTGAAAGTAAATTTCACACTTTTGTGGATAACTGTTAGATGAATAACATCTGTCATAAACTGTCCTTCTTTGCCATTTAGACATACCGCAAAATTCCGAAAATAAGCCCCTCCATGTATAAGCTCCTCCAAAAATTAATATAGGCCCCCCAAACCGGTGACACAAAAAACCCTCTGTTAAATCGCCCCTCCAAAAAAAAGCTCCCTGCGGGCTTGTACTTGGAAAATTGCGCTCAAATACAAAGTAAAACAAAGCAAAAACGGTAAGTTTACGTCGAACTATAAGGCTAGTCCAATCGATTCATAAACGCAAATTTTCCTCCATAGAGAAGCCCCTCCGAATATAAGCCCCCCCAAAAATAAGCCCCTCAAAAAAGGCCTTTTCAGAATTTTACGGTATGTGTTAATTGGTGTGCTCATTAACTATGTTTGATGAACTTTATTATGTAAGTTGGGCAACCTGGTTCCCAGGTTCTCTCTCCTAACCTTTCTTGCTCCATAGGGACAAGTAGGAGAGAACCCTGGCAACAAGGTTGGTAGGTTGGGATGGGATTGATGACAGGGGAATTGGCAAAAAGGGAAATTGTCCACTTTTCACATGTTTAGAGGATAGTATCATTGGGTTCCTTTGGTCCTTACCATGAAGAAATATAACAACAACAACACTGAGAAAAACAAAACAATAGATATTTTAGTGAGGTTATATTCTTTAGTTTATTTGCTTACAAATTAATTCTGTTAAGGTGATTCTATGCTAAAGTCATAGCTAAGTGCCCTTTTCCCTGCCCAAAATGCTCATGTAGAGTTGTGAAAGAAGATTCATCATTAATAATTTCTTGGTGATTTTTTGCAGGCATGGCAATAAAACTTGAAAAAGTTGGCCTAACGTGCCAGAGGACTTCTAAATTGAATATATAGTATTCAATGATCACAGAATGTCAAAACATCATAGTTGGCCAACTAGATAACTGATCTTCTTCAAGTTGCGACGTTATTGTTTATGTTTTGACTGTAAAATTATCAGCATGAAAATTTCTTAGCAGTGTTCTGTACAGCTTATCTGGAAATAAAATTTAATTTACATTCTGAAGTGGAGTGGCTCCAAAATGTACATTACGTATCGCCTGTACATGTATCTGCGACGGAAAAAAGGTGGAAGCTGCTGTTTAACCCTTGTCTTACCCTGATCTCCTGTGTCACGTTCCTTATTTTTGACATGTTATGTACATGATCCTTTCGCTTTCAGTTGCATTGAAATGTTATGTACACAATCCTTTCGCTTTGAATGGTATTGGAAATTAATATGACTTGAATTTGGAAAGTTATCGAGGAACAGTTTAGCGTGAATTAGGTCATAATTTCCCCATAAGGCAGAGTCTGCAAAGTTTTTTCTGCTACATAGGGAAACTGTTCATCTTTTGACTCGAAAGTAAGTTTAAGGTTACCCTTGTCCTAGACGCTTTCATTTCTTCTAATTCGTTGATCTTCAGGGTATCTCGCTTACCCCTAGGATTTTAGAGGTTTAAATATCTTACACTTTAGATGATTACTTACCGATCCACCATCACAATTTCCCGGTGGAAATCGATCACACTGTAAAAAGTCCGGCCATTTTTTATGGTAGCGTTCAACTACCTCGCAAGGTTTTCTGGTAGCATAGCATTGCTCTCTACAAGGCAATTTAACAGTGCTGTTTTGACATCTCGGTTTATAAACCTGGCATAATAACGGCTGTAGAACTGCCCAACATTTTGATAAAAACTTTAGGCCTTTCCATTCTCCAAGTTTCTCCTTAGCGGCCTGTTGTGTTGGAGAATCAGTGACCAACTCTAAAGTTGTGAAGTTGTACATCAACTTGGTACCCAAGCATGTCTGTTCTTCAAGCATTTCACATTTATAATTAAACCCCTGAGTTACTTTGTGGAACAAATATAGTAAAAGAAGTGTGTTAAGCCACCGACGTCCCATAGTACCATATGAAAACACCGCTAAATTTTGAATTTTCCTTTGATTGTGTTAAATGCTTGCTTCCATTCGACACTGTCGCGGCGGCAGATAACATTCCTTCGTTCAAGGTCACCAAAGAGCCTATTGAGTTTCATGTAAAGTGATCTTTGTTTATCGTGTGATTAAATTATTAACTCATTAACTGTCGTGATAAACTTGGTGTCAGTTTTTAAAATGTTTAAATCATTTTGCGTCTCCTGTGTACGGAAACCGTGGCCTGCTTTTCTCTGTTGTCATTTCTCAAATTGGGTATACGGAAGGTACAGGGCGGTATAGTGGCCTACATAAACTCAGTTCAGTTCAATATCCTGACTCACAGAGATGTGCTTTCATGTAAGGCAAGTACCGATTCCCGAGGGATCACTTAAAAGAAGAGGGTTTAATACTTTTCAGTATTTTTTATTGAACAACTTAATTACCTAACTTAAAGTTGTTTTATATTTATTAGCGTACTTTCCAACCTGCAGCAATGCCCCTGATTAGCTTGTTTTCTTTCATTTTGGTTTCTTTTTTTAAAGTTTAACTTTTTTCACCAAGGGAAAAAAGTACTGAATAGCGCTGTTGAAATTATTCAGCAGATCACAGTCATTTCATTTATTCGCGAAGATTTTTACCTGCCCAATCCAGATAACCATTTCCCAATCTGAATGAAGAACAATGGTCACCTGAATGGTTAAAATTCGAGAGGTCGTATCAAAGTAATGCAAGAGTTGTATGTCTTGTATAGATTGGGAAAGTTTATGGAATCCTAGAACTGCAAAAGTCTCAGGGTGGATTTACACTTATTTATTTACAGCATTAATACCCGGTGCACTTTTTAAAACAGTTTTTAACTTACGTCAAGGAAAGCAATTGAAAATTCGAACGGGCACACGCTGGCTCTCCAAAGCCAGGGAAAAGCTAGCCTGAAATTCATCCGATTGCTTCGAGTCGTTTTCTCCTCTCAACAACTACTGAGGGAGTAATAACGACTCGAAGTAATCGGATGAAATTCAGGCTAGGGAAAAGCGCCCTTGGGGCGAGGTTGAGTCGCGTACGCGTGCTGCTCTCGCGTGACGTCTCGCGACTCCCCCAAATGGAGAGCTTGCTCTCAGACTAAATAAATCCAAGATCCCTTTCGGGACCAAAGAAAATATTGCAGAGAACAGTACTCAGGGGCACCCAACGACCTTTTCCTCCTAAATATATTCCTAACACTTTTTAGGCTATGCAGAGTACTTTTAGATCTCTAGAAATGCTGTTCGGTCATCCTAGGGGAACGTGAGTCTCTTCGAAATTGCAAGGGCTTGAGAAAATTTTAGATGTAGTTTGACGTATTACGAAAGTGAGATATTTTCTGATTTCTCTCTCTATTGCATTCAGTGAGTCTGAAAAATTAAACTTCAGAAAATCGTAGGGGACTTTTCAGTGTAACGGTCATCTAGAAATTTTTAGCCGTCCTCGAGTGATAGAAAATTCCAGGCAATATTTGCTTCTCCGAACAGATATTTCACGGAGAACTGTCGTTGGGTGCCCCTGAGCCGACTCAGTGTCCAGTCAGCAAGTTAGGCTTTGTTCACACTTTGTGTCCGGGGAGGGTACGGTACCTGCTCAGTGGGCAAGTTAATGTGAACACACCGTTTTTGGACAGAATTCGATAACGGTACCTGTGCCCTGCAAGATCTCGACTTTTTACTCTGGCACTTTAGTGAGCAGTGAGTGAGCACACTAGGTGGGGATGAGTTGCGGGGGGGAGGTTTGGGGCTGACTAGGTACTTAAGTGGGACCGGCCCTTCACAGTCAGTCTATTTTTTTTTCAAAAAAGTTGGGGAAGGGGCTAAAGCTTCCCATCGCCCCGACTCCATAGGCACTGTAATTTAGTTAATTGGTCGAACAAAAGAAGCAAGGCTGATTTTACAGTCGGAATATCTATTTTCTGTTACCAATTAAAATATTGCGCAAGGCACGGCCTTCCCTAGCTTATTCAGGGTCTACAATGACTACTGATGTAGGTCAAGCTAAGACGTTTATACAATGACTGAAAAATATAGCATGCAATATAATACCATGATAACACGTAAAAATTAAATAAGGAAAAAGTGAACGTTGAAAGTATAGATGGTTTTCACTGTGACGTCATCAAATTGTCAAGTCAAAATAGCTAGGTTTTACGAATTCTTTAGACTGCAAAACAGTTCGTATTTTTGCGTATTCAAGTACGCTCGAGCAGTCAAACGAGGTTGAAAAAAGTGAACCCTATGCCCGGGGGGGCGGTTCTCCCATACATTACCTATACGGCAAGAGACTATAAAGGGGACAGAGAGGGCATCCCCCATATACACCCTATTCCATAGGTAATTCGTCTCGAGTTATTTTTAGAATCGGGATAAAGTTCCTCGCGGGAGGCGTGGATGTTTCGTGGAGGTTTCGCATGACCAAACGCCGTGCAAAACATGTCGGGCGAGAGGCAATGAAAGCGTAAAAAGATCGAGAGCATTCCTGAATATTGAAGCGAAATGAGTCGGCGCTCACCTGGGAAAAAGGAATCGCTGGACTCTTTGACAACCCGTGAAATCAGTTTAACTCGAGGTTGTCGTAACCTCAGTGCTTTAGTAAAATGAGAAATTTCGCCGGTCTATTGAAACCGGTCCTTTGTATAATTTAGGGAGTTTAAGATCCAACGACGCGGACGACAACTAGAACGTCAAAAAAACAATAGGTTTAATTAGCAAAACAACAACTTCGCACGTGGAACACACTTTTTTGTTCATTTCTTTCCCGTTTTTGCACGACTACGACGTGAAAATGCCTAATTTCGCGTTTTATGGAGGACGTAAATACGCAACGACGAAATTTTATTTCTCTTTCTGAGCTTGAATATGGTCCCTTGAAATTCAGTTTTAGGAGGGTTCGCCTACAATTGACAAAGTAAGTGGGTAGGAATAATCGCTATAAAGACTGAAAAAAATAAACATCAAACCAGAAATTGCTCTCTTCAAACTGTAAATTATAAATGATCCTGAGAGAATATTCAGTGTGTTAAGGATTTCCCTGTTCTACTGTTAGCTCTATACAAGAGAGGAAGGGCGATTCTTTTTTAATTTCGGTTTCGCTGACACAGCTTTCGCAGAAATCTCGCTGTAGTCGTTTTCGTCGACAAAAGGAATAGCAAAATCGCTCTCCGCGTCTTCCCCCATTTTGTTCTGCGTCATTTCGTGAAGGACGCGTGGCTCTCAGCGTGGGTCATCCACGCGGAACACATTCGCGCTATGTGATTGGCTGTTGTCTAATCCCCCTTGAGATCTGTGGTGTAAAAAATAACTCGAGACGGATTACCTATGGAATAGGGTGTATATGGGGGATGCCCTCTCTGTCCCCTTTATAGTCTCTTGCTATACGGGTATGTGCCACCCAACGGGGTCGTGATTTTGAAGCTCCTCAGGATTCAACCTCGTCCCCAGGGCTTTTCCCTAAAAAAATAGCTAAGGGAAAAGCACTGGGGACGAGGTTGCTCAGGTTAGAACGGGGTATCTATTTCAGAGGCGTTTTCTAGATCGGGGTATAATATTTCGAACGCATAAAAGCTCAAGTTTTGTAAGCAGCGATTTGAAATTATTCAAGGACGGATTGCTTTTAAAAATACGGTTCAATGCGTTAACAAGCAAACTGTTGTACTCTTGTTGCACCCTAGAACGGAGTATAAAAAATTGGCCCATTTCTAGAACGGGGTATCAGTTTTACGGGAATTTTTTTTTAGAACGGGGTGCCAATTTGGAGTCCCGGGCGGCACATACCCACTCAAAAAATACCCAAGTGCTCCCCCCCAGGGACCCTACGCCCTACGCCACACTTTACCTTTTTTTAAAACTGATTTTGAGAAGAAAAAAAACGACTGTTTTGCAGTCTACGAATTTTTATTTACACTAGGTTGAAGATAAACAAAAAGTAAACCTTTGTACAACTTTCCATTCCCGTAGCATGTTTCATTTCGAAAATACAGCAATTTGAACTTCCTAGTTGTAACAGTGCGTGACACCCGCAATGCTGTCTCGTTCAAAAACAGTCTCTTCTCTTTATTTTCAGCGTTATAACCATTTCAAGTATTACAAGATATGTTTATGCGTAGGTATGCTAGTTATCGAGTGAAAAGAAAAAGCTTTTATAGAATAAGTGAACTCCAGATGTTTTCCGGCGGCCATTTTTGTGCACCAAAACAGTACACCAATATGGCGTCTCCATACAAAGTTCTACAAAGGTGCGTGAAACGTTTTGACAAATAACTCACAAAATGTTGGCCACAAAGACCTGAGAATTGGACGAATTGTTTATATATTAGTCTTTTATAACATTTCATTTTCTTGGTTTCTTCTACTGGACGGTTTCCAATTTATTTTTTTTGTTGCGTGACAGTGAAAACGATCTATATGAAAACCAAATAATGCATTCTCTCGTTCGACATGGGATGGTATTTCACGCAATCCCAGATTAAAAATTGCTTTGTAGGTACTTTGAAACTAAAAAAGATTTTACCTTTTAATTTCGTTCCTTTACGATTGAAAGAACTGCCTACTTTCAACTATCCTACTTTCCACAATTTTCCAAAATTACAGTGTTACAGTTACAACCGGAAGTCCTTGTTTCACCGGAACCAGTATTGCCCCAATGCATTATGGGTAAGGTTGCGGCCATTTTATCCGTGTCGAAAGTTTGAACGGCTAAATCACCTCCTGAAAGACGAAGTTTTCCTCATTGGTGCTAATATCATGAATAAGGCTTCACTCTACAAAATGTAAACACGCCTAAGTACCGCCATTTTTTCTTGGGGGGTTATAATTTGGGTAAAAAATGAAGAAGTTTTTCTCTTCGGGTGGAGGTACCGACAGCAGTTTTGTGGGCAAGACTTTTATTGTCGGTCGGTGTCCATGTGTGGTAGAGGAAGTCATTGCTGAAGGTAAGCTTAAAGTAAACTTTTTCCTGTTTGCTCTTTTTTCAGGTTTGATTCGTTGTTGGTTGATTAGAGTTATGTCCATCGATAGCTTAAGTTTGTTTTTAAGTTGGGGTTGATCGAAGTGGAATTTTCACGATGACAGCCAAGCTTAAAGATGTTGTGCTAATAGAGCTTCTTAAGTTAAAGACAATTTTGTTTGACAGTAAAAGCTGAATTAATTAGTTAGACTATGGCGAATTCTGTAAAGTGTGAATTGTAACAGATTGCGTATTAACACAATAAGACTTAGGCTGTTCTTGTAAAGAAATCTCCGTCCCACATAACGCCAAAAGAAAACATTCGTTTACGTCATTCTGCTGCACATAATCATCTCGAAGTTATTTATGATATTTTCCCACATAAACTTGCTGAGCTGTAATTTTTGCTTGGATACCGGTAGCCTTCAAGCAGTATGCCCCTTGTTGTTAGAAAAATTAAGATTTTCTTATCTGTTCACAACATAAAACGACAGCCTGTTTTAAGCACACTAACAGCTGAGGGGGTCTTTAACTTTTAGTATGTGCATGGTACGGTGCCACAGGTTGACCTTTTTCTGTTTGTTATGGACTGGGCTTTATTCATGTATATATTTCAGATACAAGTGTAGCTATTTGTATCGGAACATGTGAAAGCTTTTTAGCTCATTTAACTGCAGGTAGAACAAATTAGGATAAGTACTAAATATATTGACTCTCAAATCATCTTTCTTACTGAACCCTTCAGGTGGATTTTCACTGGTGTTCCTGATCAGAGTTCCTAGCGGAAAGCGACATGCCTTAAAAAGGATATCAGTCAATAATATGCATGATTTACAAATATGCAAACAGGAGATTGATATAATGGTTAGTCATGATGATTCTTTGTTCTTCTTAAATGATTCATTTGTGATTCACCATTTTTTGGGCTCCCAAGCCTTACATGTAAATTACAGAGTCCTTGTAAATATATTCCAAATCACCTTGACAGGAAAAGAAAATTTTATAGCCCTTCAGGCTCTAAATCTAAATCTAAATATCGTTATGTCGGCAAAATTGTTTGGGACATCACGCCAACTCAGAGCTCTTGATGCTCTTCTGAAATAGATACGATTGCAGTAACCTGAGAGAAAAGTTTCACCTTTAGCCAATCAATTTACGTTTAATGTTACCAAATGGTACAAGGAACTGAACTCCAACTCACCTTTCCTGACCCTTACAGCTTCATACCCTACTTGAGGGAAATTGAAGCTCTTGACATGTTGGTTATGATAACCTTTTTTAAAACTGTTTTGCCTCCAGTCAACTGGGATTCTTACTTGTTATGTGTGATTGCACTGCTCTGAAAGGGGTCACCGCCTTATCGTGGTGGGGCAGTCTACATGTCTCAATGACCCCTAGTACTATGTAAGCGTAAGTCTTGAACTCCTGGTAGGGCCACCCTACCAGAAAAAGGTCAAACGATAGAGACCCCGTGGCCCTCCTGGTTGGGGGTTGAGCATAGGGCTAACGATCCTGCCCCATAAAAACACTAATTGTTTCAGTGAAACTGGAAGCATTGATAATGACAGAGCACTAACTGGGGATGTCACTGCTGGGGCTGTAGTGATGCTCATTGGACAAAGCTGGCGGGAAACCCAAAGGCCGATAGGCCCCATAGTAGCCCCCAAGCCTCAGTCGATCATCAGTTGCTGGAACATGAGGACCATTGCAGAGGCAACACAGGCATGGCAAGTAGCTAAGGAGATGAAAGAGTTTGGGATTGAAGTGCCAGGAATAAGACTTAGTGACATCAGGTGGAAAGATATAGCATCAGTAACACTGCAGAGTGGAGAGAAGGTGGTGTGTGATGAATCAGGTGGAACTGGCTAGGTCACATACTGTTGGTCAGACAGCGTGGAAAGCAGCCTACTAGCGTGATGAGTCATGATGATGATGATAATAATGTTTGATTGCAAATTGGTTATAAGTTTGAGGGTTTTGATATAATCATTTAATTTCTTTTCTTTTGTTCATGAAGATTAAATATATATTGTTTAACCATTATTACATTAACAGAAGCTTGTATCTGGTCACAAGAATGCTATTACGTACCTTGGTTGTACAATTAATCAGATCAACCCTGGGATTTATGAAGTCCTGATTCTCATGGAGTACTGTAGAGGTACATGACCTGTCACTATTATAGTAACTGTTAGTGTGTTAATTAAATTGTGTATTTTAAATTGTTCCGGCACTTTTGGTTTTTTTTTTGTTCTCATTTCATTTTGTTAAATGAAGAAGGCAGTTTGCTTTATGACTCCTAGAAAAGAAAAATACCACCCTGCAATTTTTTTTCCTTAATTTCCTTCCCACAACCTCAAGTTGTACCGGTCTACCCAACCATTTCTTGGTAGTAATGAGTCTTGAGAATGAAAATGAGAATGAGAATGAATGAGTCTTGTGGGTTTTCTCATAACTCTCACATTCCTATATTTTCCACAGAGGGGCATGTTGTACAGTTGATGAATGAACACATCAGTTCTGGTTTCAGCGAGTCATTAGTTCTGAAGATCTTCACAGATGCCTGTGAGGCTGTTGCTAAGCTTCATCATGCAGATCCTCCAGTGATTCACAGGGATCTTAAGGTGCCTTATCCAATGTTAGCTAGTAATTGCCTAATATTTGGCAGTGATCATCATCATCATCATCATCTTCATCATCATCATCATTTTTTGTTTTATATATCAAAAGTCCAGGTTTAAGATGGACGTACAGGTGGTGCGGCAACTAAAGGTGTTAGGATTAAGGCTATGGTCCAAGTTTCAATCCCACCTGCCCTAAGTGGCAGCCCTGTAAATTTTTCATAGAATAAGATTCTGTAATATTAACCAAGGGAATGTACAAGATCTGAAGTGACGAGAGACATTAAGTGAACTTTTGCTCCTGTAGATGTAGATGTAGATGTAGATTGTAAATTTTTTTTTTGACCTTTAGGTTGAGAATATATTACGCAGTGATCGTGGTGAATTTGTTCTTTGTGACTATGGCAGTGCTACCAGAAGAGTAGTGAATCCTCAGGTATGATTTATATGTTTTTTGCTGGCTTAGTATGTCTTCGTCAGAAATAAAATCAGAAAACTTCATTTGCTTAATGCAATAAGAGAATTGTGTATTTTTCTTGTCACAGGAGGAAGGTGTTACCAAAGCAGAAGAAGAGATACAAAAGTGAGTTAAGTTGACCCATTAACTGTAATCAAACTAGTACTACATCTACACTCATCCATGGCTCTAGGTGGAATTAATGGTTCACTGTAAAACGGTCAGAAATTTTATTCCTAACCATTAGTCACTCAATAATTTGTATAGGTAATAGCATGATTTTTACTGATATTTGGAATAAGTACCACGAGTTAATTTCAAAATTTTTATACTTAATTTCACGAGCTGTTAAGTGAGCGAAATTTGAGGCAATTTTGAAATGTCACAAGTGGTATTTATGCCGAATATCACATACAAATCATGCTATTATTTGTTTATACTACTACCCACAAAAGGTTTGTAATTTTCACATGTAGGTATTTCAAATTAAGCTGAAATACCACTGCTCTAAGCCAATCAAATTGCAGAAATTTCCAATTTAGTAGTGTAACACTGGAAATGGTTAACGTTTGTATAGCCACAAGTTATCATTTTGAAATTGTTTTGATAGCTTGCCAGGATTTTTCAATGTACTTGTTTTCTCTCATGGCAAGTGGATCCTATTTTAGCCAGCTTTGTATTGGCAGTACTTAATAGAAACCTGAGGTAAAGATTAGCCATAAAGGCAACCACCCAACAGAGGCCCTCATACTGTAACTAAAGGTAACTTTAAATCACCATCTAAATTCATTGTTTTGTAAACACTGTACTGTTTGTCTACAGGTACACAACACTATCTTACAGAGCCCCTGAGATGATTGATTTGTACAGTGGTAAATTAATTACCACTAAAGCAGATATCTGGGTAAGCTGATCATTTTGTTTGGGTCACTTGCTGTCCTACAACTTGCAACACAGAGCAGAGCTCAAAAAAGGCTTGAATTCCAGCTTGTCCTTTGGGCAAGTAGCTCTCTCATTTTGCTTGCCCATCACCACTTCTTCCTTGTCTTAGTAAATAATTTTGTTGGAGTATGACTTGCGTGTGCTATTGCCTATTGAAGCGTACCAAGAAAGTCGTGTCCAGTAGCCTGGGGCTAGTGGATTTTGCTATCGGGCTAGTGATTTTTGTTCTTAACTTGACCCGACGGGCAAGTGCTGTTTTATGGCAAAATTTAAATTACAGAAGGATTGTAATCAATCCTGCTAATCAAAAAGGGTTTGCGGGCTAGTAGAAATGACATGTGGGCTAGTACATGCTAGCTACAGCTTGCCTTAATGGCAGGCTGTAAAATGGACTTTCTTTGCACCCTGCTATTGGGCAAGTTAGCTTTAAAAGTTAATTGTCCAGCAAGGAAATCTACTTATCCCAAACTACAAGACATGACTTTTTGGACCCCTGTGGAGGTATGATGGTTGAAAGAATAGTGCTAAATATTTCGCCATTTTGTTTCTTTAGGCTCTGGGTTGTGTATTGTACAAGCTCTGTTTCTTTACACTTCCATTTGGTGAAAGTCCACTTGCTATACAGAGTGGTCAGTTCACCTTCCCGGAAAACTCACGCCATCCTAAACTTCACAAGCTTATCAGTAAGTTTTCATTCTCTTTTAAAAGACCTTCTGTGTTATTATGTTTGTCTTTGTAGTGACTATTGTCTTTGACATGATAAGAACATGATAAAAACTTTGGCATAATAGCAGAATAAAAAATGCCAGTCACTTTGCTGTCACACAATAAAGATGCTCCAGTGATGTGAACAGAACTTATAAAACTCAAGTGCCTTAGAAATATTTACTGAAAGATGAAAATATAATAATTATTTTTGTGTCTCATCGATGTAAAGATCTTGAGTAAATGAATAACATCAATAATAAATATTGTTGATTGTCAGTCAAACCTCCATGTGTGACCACCTCTGATAATCAATCACCTCCCATAAGTGACTACACCTACATGTATCCGAAATGCCAAAATTTTCTCAGTGTAGCGTGCAAAGAAAGTAGTGTCTGATAGCTCCGGGGCTTGTGGATTTTTGCCCAATGGGCAAGTGAGGGTTTTTGGGAAATTCAAATTACAGAAGAATTGTAATCAATCCTGCTCAGCAAAAAATTTTTTCTGGCAGGTTGAAATGGTTTTTGGGCTAGTACATGTTAGCTACTGCTTGCCCGAATGGCAACCTGTGAAACTGACTTTCTTCGCACCCTGTAGTGAAATCACTACAGTTGGAACCTCTCATAAACTAGCACCTCTCCTAAGCATTTACGACCACTTTTTTCTCTTGTTTTTATCCTCCTGTAATTACTTTTAGTGGGAACATTAAACCAAGCATATCGTAACTTAGAAACTGCATATAATGAATTCTCTCGCAAATGTAGCTGACTTTGTTTGGGCCTCTTTTAGGAAGGGACCCTCTGTTGGTCAATTCTCATAAGGGACCTCTTAATCGTCATATTTTGTGTGGCTGCTTATCCCTTTAAGTCCCAATAATGATCAACATCAATATTCTCCGAAAGATATCCATACATTGGCAAGAGAAAAGGTTATGAGAGTTTATAAAACGATCACCAAAGAGAAAATACCTTGATCTTTTATCAAATTCTATCAATTCTTTCTTTAAGGAAATGTATAGAGATCAGTTTGGAGAATTTGTATCTGGATATTGGGGCTTAAAGGGTTATGAGAGGCTTGACTGTATTGTTATCACAAAAACTTATTGTTATGGCCATTTGTCTGAAATAACAAGTTATGTACAATATCAAGTTTCCTATTCCTTTTCATTCTAGCCTGTCACTGTGTGACTCTTTCACTGCCAGAGTGCTTGATAGGGTTTTGTAAGGTGACTCTAACTTTTGAGTCTGTGGCTGAAATCTTATGATGTGGCCATTCAAATAAAAGCACTCTGCCTGTACTTCCTCATGATGCTATTTATTTGCCAAAATTTTAGAAAACGAAATTTGCCTTTGGCCACATTTGGCAGTGAAAGTGTTAAAGACTTAGACTCAGCTAACCAACTTGACATTGTTGAAAATTAGTGTCAGATAAGGCCATAATTTCAATCATGTACGTCACTTTGCTTTATCTGCAGGCTTCGTTCTCAATCCAGACCCGGAGAATAGACCAGATATTTTTCAAGTTTCCTATGCAGCCTTTAAACTCAGAGGTCTTGACTGCCCTGTCCCTAATGTTATGGTGTGTTGGCATTTTTCTCCTTACGTTTTTCCTGGAATTTCTGCTTATTTGCAATAACAATTAAATGAAGAAGATTTGCTGTGATTTTAACAGAAAACCGTGAATTGTGGAGACAACAAAAATAACCTGCTAACCTTACCTTTGGAGATGATTCAATATTATTAGAGGATTTGTATAGGTAATAACATGATTTGTAGTGAAATTTCAAAATTGTTATACGAAATTTCACGAGTCGTTAGGCGAGTGAAATTTGAGACAAATTTGAAATATCACAAGTGGTATTTATGCCAAATATTACATGCAAATCATGCTGTTATTGGTTTATACTACTACCCGCAAAAGGTTTGTAATTTTCACATGTAGGTATTTCAAATTAAGCTGAAATGCCACTGCTCTAAGCCAATCAAATTGCAGAAATTTCCCATGTAGTAGTATAAAAATGTCTAAAATGGAACCTCTTTGGCAGATCTGTTGCAAGGCATTACAACAAGAAATGTTGTGGTTTTTGTGATTTTTCAGGTTAATATTCTTAAGATAACAGATTTGTGTAGAAACTTTCGAAACACTAAAGACGGTTCGCACGCACCTTGAAAGTCCTTGAAAATTGCAGTGGGTGCTGGAAAGGTCTTGAATTCTAATGCTAACTTTATAGTTTAAGTAGAACTTCAAAGAGAAAGGAGCAAACACAAAGACCTTCGCGATAAAATTACTCATGTTGTGTAAGAACTAAAAACAGACATGGACTCAAGGCTCTTTTTTTGCGTTGATTGGAGTCCTTGAAAAGTCCTTGAAGTTTTTCTTCAAAAAAGGGTACGAAGAACCGTGTAAAAAATTTCGATGGGTCCGTGCGTTCAAGATCAAATTAGGAGAAGGGAAATGCTTGGTTTCATCAAATGATTTTTGATGTGATGACCAATTATTGTCGTTGTTTGTGTACATCAGAATGCAAAAATACCAGACACACTTCCAGAAACGCAATCTGTTGAGGAACAGCAAAAGGGGGAAAATGCTGCTCGAACAACTGCTGCTAAAACAAAGTAAGGATCAATGATACTCAGTACATATATATGTTGTAGCGACTATTCTCATAATCAGAACCTAGCTACAAGACAATTTGTTATCCGAGATGGGGTCTTGCTTGGAGGTGACGGGGATGGTCGCAAAGCCATTATCAAGCAAAGCAAATTACTAGTAAATCGACTTGATTATAGTGGGTCTTTGATCTCTTATATCCCTGATGGGGCTAAAAATGTCGGAAACGATGGTTTTGTGTTTTGTTTATTTGAAGTGCGAAAATTAGTATTCCAAATTTGTTCATTTTTACAGGCGACATGAAGGACCAGTCACTACCTCTCTTGCTCCTCGTCAACGACCAAGGGCAGGCCAAGGTCATCAGCAACTGGCTACTCCTCAGGCTTCCTCGCGCTTAAGCCACATTGCTAGTCCTCAGCAGAATCGCAAACAGTACTCTCATGTACAAAGAAGTAATCTTGACGTTGAGAGTGCTCATGGCTTGAGCCACATGGCTAGCCCAAGACAGAACAGAAGGAACATTCCACCACAAGGACCAGAGAATTCCGCAGCTCATCAACAAGTCCATACAAATATGACGCGACAGGACCCCAGAGCTGTTTTTGCTGATCAGGCGGCATCAGCGGTACCAGATCTGATGGATGTTGGCCAGCACCCATCAGCAGCAGTGTACCGTGTGGTAGCACAGCACGGGCAGCAGCCTTATCCTTACCAGCAGCAGATGACGAGGGAGCAGTACCTTCAGCAGCAGTATCTTCAACAGCAGCAGTTGGCTCAGCAACAGTATTTACAACAGCAACAACAGCATATGTTGATGCGTCAACAACAACAACAACGATTGCTCCAGCAGCAACAGCAACAGCTGCTTCAGCAGCAGCAGATGCTTCAGGAACAACAGCAAGCTCAACGACAGTTGAATTACCAGATGGAAGGTCCACCAGCCCAGCAATACCAACCTACCCAGCCACATCATGTTCAACAGCAACCTCAGTTCAATCCGCAGATGTATCAAGACACTGATCAGTGCCCACTGAACCCATTTTATGAATATCAACAGTATCCAACCTCCGGCGACGTACGGTACCACAACTACAATGCCAATCAACCGCAAGTAACATTTCAACAGCCTCAAAATGCTCAAGAATTTCCTCAACAAGCAAAACCCGATAATAGCAATAACAGATTATTGAGACCCCGCTACATGTCTCACAATCGCTCTAGGTCTGACCCTAACTTTGCGGTTCATTATGATAGAAGCAATCAGGTTAAAATGCCATCTGTTACCCCTCAACCCAACGCAAGCAGCTCAAATCGTTCCCACCATCGAAGCCCTAGTGACCCTGCTCTCAACCAATCCAAAGAACCAGAGGCTGGAATGCTTTTGGTAAACATTGAGTCAAGCGATGAACCCACGCCGCACTGGAATCCTTTTAGTCCATATTATGAGTCAAACGAGTTGGACTTTACAGCCAACCAGAACGATGTAACCGATGATGACTTCGCGTCACTACGTGCAAGTAACGAAAAAATTTCTCAAACCGGAACAAATTCTAGTTTTCAGCCCAATGTCGAAAGTCATCAACCGAATGCTGGCTATCATCAAGCCAGTGTTGGCTTCCATCAGACCACTGCTGGATATCAACAGCCCAGTGCCGGTAATAGAACATCTGAATTTCGTCAAGGGGCTACTACGGATATTTTTGGATCTGCCACATTTGATAGCCAAGTAGCTGAGTTGCAGCAAGGTTTGAGAAGTAGCTTGGAAAATTTACAGTTGGTTGATGTTCCTGCCGGGTTTGGAGACAATAGCGTTTTTCCTCAACAGCAACAAGTAACGGAGATTGTTCAAGATGGCAACAATCCGTTTCTTCAAGGCTATCGTTCCACTGAAATTGAAAGACATTTGAACTTTGCAGGGGAGGCGTCAAGTGAAGACGAATCAGAGGAAGCTGATGAACCAGAATATTCTGGTTTCCACCCACCCCCTTCCCCTGGTGTAGCAGATCCTTTCGGCTCAGCACCATTCATCGTCCAGAAAGCTATGCAGGTCCCGCCAACCACAAGAGATGCATTTGGCTCGTCCCCATTTAATGCGCCACACCCATCACAATCAAAAGGGGTTGATTATCAGTTGACTAATGTACAGCTGTCTGAGCAACAAACTGATACCTCCGGTCATGCGAGCTCTTTCACTTCTACGCAAGGTTCTGGTGTCGGAATGGCCCCAGGACCGTTTCATGTTGAAGGAGACGTTAGTAACTCTTGTCCGTTTGTCGGGAATGTTACTGAGCATGAAGATCCATCGGGCTTAGTTAATCCCGCCGTTGATTTTGTAGACAACATAGACGATCCATTTGGCGGAGTATCTTTTAACGCTAATCCAGCCTTTAAGCGAAGAAACGCCAAGAGACAAGGAGGAGCCTTAAGGAAGGGACCTCCGGAAGCTGCTCCAAGTGGTGATCAGAGTCATCGTTCTCGACCCCGGCGACTTTTGCCCCAAACACCGGACAAAACCCCTGGTGTAACTCATGCTGGTCAGCGGGTTGCTAGTGGACAGACTAGGACCCAGAACATTAGAGTTATTCCTGTCATACCATCCGCAAGTTCAGTGCAGACGCCTGTGAAATATGAGCCAAAGTCAACCGGAAATAGACAAACAAATGCGGCCACGTGACTCAGGAGTAAACTAGAAATGTACAACTTAATACCCTTTCTTCTCAAATCAGAAAATCAGTTATTCTCGATGTTGACTAGAAAAAACACGAGCGAATTCAGAAATCGCTCTGTTGAGTTGTAAAAATAAGTATCTTAAAATTCTCTGCGCAGGCTCGAAAGACAAACCGTTTCGGAAATAGAAATATCGAGCGAAGTCGATGTTATTCACTATGATTCGCGACGGCTGTTGTCGCGTGATTAATGTATGTCACGCATTATTAGCTTCTTACGCAAACTTTCCTGTGTCTTGTCACGTATTCTATTCTGTCTCGTCGTGTGACACCCTAAAAGGAGACTTGCGCATGGACGATTCAGTCGTACCATGGCTTGCAAACAGCGAGTAAGTACTGCTAATCTAAGCGAATCATTTCAACTCTTCAAAATGTGAATGTTTTCAAATTGTTTGAGACTAAAAACAGTTACCCGTGGCGGGCGTTGACTCAAATGGTCCAGCAGGGATTTAACCTTAAAAAGCGATTTTTTTTTTCTCATTCACTTGTTGCGTCGACTATGCATAGTAGTAATGATACTGGAAAGTATTTAGGGAAGTTTTATCGTCTATCCGTTCTGGTCGTTTTGGCTTTGAAGTTTCGCAAAGCTTTTATGGAGAACCATCGCGCTCCAATGGAGGTGTTTTGTGACAAGCCAATTACATGTACATAAGTAGATGTTTGAAATTTAGTTCAGAATGTTGGATTATGAAACGGTTCATTGTGCTGGACACAGTGTGCTAACTTAAATTACCGTCGCGTTTGTCTTAAAGTTACAAAATGTACCTTCAAAATGCTCTTGTCACAAAGCTCAACTACACTGGCGCTAAACGACAAAAACTACTTTTTTATGCAAATAAAGAAAATCACTGTGGTATTGTGGAAGAAATAGAATTTGGTCAATTTGTTGCGACTTGCTGTGAAATTGATTTGTTTTTTTTTTTAATGCTTTTTTTTTCTATCACCTTAATCCGTTGACAAGTATTTGTAACTTTTTACTTAAAGAATAAATGGTCGAAAATGCAGGTAGAAGCCACTTTTCGTTTGAATGGACGTTGTCGACACAACGACCCGCCCCGCCGCTACGTTACTAACTGAAATTTCATCAGAAGTACCAGACGAAGGCTCTTCACAACCACCAGAGATTTCTGAAACTACGTGAACCTTTTTCTACAATAAAAGAGGAAATATCGATGATTGTAAATTAGCCACGTTTTGATTGATTTTAGGGACGTCAGTAAAATAAAATATATCGGCTCTAAGCTGTAACATTAATTGCCTGATATTCTTGCATTAAGTGTTGTCAATACCGGTAGTAATCTTGTCCTACATCAACGTGACAGTTTTAGATTTAAAAGAAAATGATTGTATGAAATAATGAACATTACCGCTTATGGACGACAGAGGCTTTTTGATTTTAATCTTTTCCGCCGGTTGAAGAAGCGCAAATGAATAGCGGTGAGACCTCGGTAATGTATGAAAGTAGTATTTTCTGCTGAGGTGTGGACATTTATTTGTTTATTTTGGTGGTTCGTATGACCATAGACATTAATCGTTCCTTTAATACCCTTGACCTGACCGACAGTTTCGGAAAAGAAGTAAAAACAATAACAACAAAAATAAGTGATGCAATACCAGCGCTCGCGGCAGATAATTGCATTCTTTTCTTGTTGAAACTATTGTTACATAAAGTGTTGATTCTCTTGTATCAAATGCTCCTAATAGCAAGCCTAAATTAACATATATTCCTAGTTACTAACGATAACGTATTCGTAGTTACCATCATCAATTCGCACGAACACTTTGCCACAATCAATAGTCCCCAATAAATCTGGTTTATTTCTTTTATGTTGAGATGGTCTAAGTAGCCTTACATCAGCAAGGAAACATGGTTGCCGGAGCACAAACGTTTTTGGCTGTCGTTCCATTTCTGGCACGGCCAAAACCGGAAATTCCTTTCCTCCGAGACCACACGCAAACGTTTGCTACGCAGGCTAGAGCGAAAAGCGGTTATTGCTCTGGTTAGCGTGGACAAAACACGTTTTGTTAAAGCAGCCATGTCGTCGGATGATAGAAAGAAATGGGAGAAATCTTGAAAAGAAGGAGGAGTAATTTAAACCGAAAGGGAGCAAACTAGGCATAGGCAAGTTACCTAGTAAAATACATACTAGCACTTGAAAGGTCCAGAGGAGGGCATCTCGCCTTGCGCTCGGACAAAAGTGTGGGGAAATGGAGTACGAGGAACGTATTAAAATTTTGAACTGGCCCACCTTAGAGAAGCGGAGACACTTCATTTCACTTATAGAATGCTAAAAAATTGTTTTTGGCTTAAATAGCCTGAAGTTTAGTGATTTTTTTTGAACTCGCCTCCTGAGATAAAAGGACACGAGCTGACCTCACTTTTAAATCAGGCGTGAAAAATGCAAGGGTTAACCCCTATAAATATTCCTTCTTTATTCGCATAGTAAAAGAATAGAATAATTTACTGCAGTATGTGGTTGAAGCAGAGTCTTTTCAACTATTTAAAGCGCAGTTAAAGTCTTTTTTGAATATGTGAATGTGTAAATAGTGATAGGTAATAATTTAACGTATTCAATTTTTAGAAAACTTTATAGGGTTCACTTTAATCGTTTTGTACCGTTTCTTTTTTATTTCTTCGTCTATTTGTGCGTTTTTTTTCTTTTCTTTGTTTTTGTGTTTGTTCGTTTTTTAATAATTAGACGCGTCCTAAGTAAGACTCAAACTATCCCGCATAAACAGCACATTTCGTTTAAAATTTAGCTAAGACGCTCTTATCTAAGAACAGCTCCTAACACCTGTTCTTCGATAAGACGAGTCTTAGCAAAATTTCAAACGAAATGTGCCGTTTATACGGGATAGTTTGCGTCTTATTTAGGACGCGTCTTATTTTTCCTCGCATAAATGGCCCTAGCTGTTGTTTTTTACTTGTGTCTCCATGAACAGCCTACTGTCAAACCTCTATTAAGTGGACATCTTCGGGACCCTCCCAAGTGTCCGCTTAATAGAGGGTGTCCACCTTATAGAGGTTTGTAAAAATTGCGGAACTTTTCGTTAAAGATTAACTTTCAACGGTTACTCTGTACTGTGATAGAGTTCCATGAAGTGCTGTACTTTGGGCAAGACTTTTAGGTGAACTTTGATCGTGGATTACAATCGTACGGCCGGATATCGGTCTAATCTACAGTTTATTGACATCTAAATGTATGGATTTATCTTTATTAATCGACTGCAGTACGTATTTCAAGGACGTAATCCAATACTACTATTGTCAATTCAGTCCTGCCTCCGCTTAATAGAGGTTTTTACCGATACAAATTAGCCAAATACAATCTATTTTAGTGTCCGCGTCCACTTAATAGAGGTGTCTGCTGAATAGGGGTTCGTTATAAAAGGAAATAAAAGACGTTAATTTCGAGACCCGGCTTAGTGTCCGCTTATGGAGGGTGTTCGCTTACTTGGGGGTCCGCTTAATAGAGATTTCACTGTATTTAATATTCTTAATTAATCTACAATGCCCCCTAGGAAGATTAGCTTTTTAGCAATTTTCTAGGTGGTCTGACCTCACATAAGTAGTTATTATCTTTTTATAATGCCTTTTTTTCTGTGTGTTGTAAATAAAATTCTTGTCTTGTCTATTGAATGATGTAAACACATTTGCAGTAAGATCAAAAAGAAACGTAGTCTTCTGAGACAGATTAAAGGTTATTTACCTCTTAGCGCTTGGTTGACCTTTTTCAATAGCCTTGTTTTACCACATTTTGATCATAGAGACATCATGTGGGGCGGCATAAATGTTTTGAGCCCGACTCAGACTCATTTTAGCACGAGCCGCTAGGAGCGGGTTAAAATGAGCTCTGAGAAGGGCCCAAAACATATTTATGCTCAAGAACATAAACTGTAGTACCTCTGTTATAATATACTTATATGTTGTTTATTATATGTTTATAATTTTAGTGATTTTAGATTCTACAGACCGTCTATTTTCTTCTTCCTCCACCCCTAACCCCTTGTGATAGCGGTCATTTAATTCCCCCCTGTTTTTGTTTTTATCACGCGGGCTCGGAGGACTTTGAAGAGAAAATAGAGGGTCTGTGAACAGGCTAAATCTTAGTTTTTACTGATGTTTATCTCATTTTTTAAAATGTTTAGTTTTACCATTTAAACTAACTTCGAGAGAACGACTGGAGAACTGACAATTTGACTAACAATAGACGAATGTTTAACTGTGAAAATAGACGGATCGAAACCAACCAATTACTGATTACGAATCTTCATAGCCAATAACATCACGGCTTAACTGACAGACGACCAATAACATAGCGACGTAATTGACCAATCAGATCAATAACCATGTAGAGTATAATACCATCAACTGAAGTGATGCACCTCACTTTGACTCTGAAGATGACTACCGCACAGGTTGTCGAAACGTCAGTCACTGTCAACAACAGCAGTCCTATTCAGGACTACGCTCACCCGGACGATCGAACTGAACCTACTTTTGTAATGACTCCTGGGTTCAAACCTTTCACAGCCTTTCACACTTTACTACTATAAGCGCGTGCATCTAGTTTTCACACTGAGTTATTCTGGGTAATTTTAAGGTTGCTCGATGGTGTTTTTCAGGGTCAATACCTCCCAAGTTCGAGCATCAACAACTACGTCGCCCTTAACAAAGATTTGGAAAAATGACCACCACAGCTGTATTAGGTAAAGATGAAAATTTGTTATGATCAGTATATAAAATTTGTTCTTAGCCGCTTATACCAACGAACACTGTTAAAGTGCCCCATAGTTACTGCAGTATCTCAAAGCAAAAAAGATTACCAAGCCCTTCCTTAACACAATGTATTATTTACTCTTGCCCAACCAATTATTTCAATTACTGCTTACAAGCAATGTGTTAGATTCTGGGATTTTACGCGTTTGCATAAACTGGTTACCTCCGATAACTACAAGTAACTGATTTCTTATTTCAATGCTATAAACGTTCGCAGAACTAAATTTGGCAACAACATTAGTTTTTATAAGTCTGATAAAACACTTCCACCTCGTGGGGCTGGAAATTGTAGCTTCCAGCGAGCAGGCTTTGAGTGTCACTTGCTCCATATTTGTAGCCCGATACTTGCACGTAGTTGCGACCCAAATTAGAGTACGAGTTGGTGTTGGAACCGGCACTATCAGCGATGTAAATATCATGGCCGGCACCAAATGTTGGACCGTAGCCACTGTTTCCATAGATACCATGCTGATAGTCTTTTATGTGAAGCTTGAAAGGCTCCAGTCCATCTTTGTTTTTAAAGGAAAATAGGAAACCATGGACGGAATGTGTGTAGGAGCTGCTAGAATCTGCAACAAAATTATCAGTTGCGTCAGATATAAATTAAAAGATTAACTTGACTCGCCGAGTAACGACTGCACTGGGCTGCCAAATTCTAGACTATATACAGAAATACTGTACTTTATGAAAAACGACAAGTTAACCAGAACAGACAGCGAACTAAACAGCTAATAAAAGAAACACAGCCCACTAAACCCATCCCGATCCCGCACGGGCCTTATTCAACCGAGACTATAAATAGATGATCATACATCTATAATTTATGGTCTACTCGAAAACTCACTGTGCCACAAGATAAGAACAGTTATTGGTTTTGAAGATTCTTTCCTATTTCTTGTTATCTTTCTTCAACTTATTAAAAAAGGAATTCGCTTGCATCTTGCGACCTTGTTGCGGCTGGGTTCCCTGTTTTCTTGTTTCCCGCCCTTTTAGATCACGCGATGAGCTTTTTGTTGTTGTACGGAGTTACTCGATAAATCAGTTGGAGCAATTCACACGAAGTAATGACGTTTTTAACGCTTGACAATGTATATATCCTTGTTTGTACGGATTGCTTGGTCTTGTCCGACGTATATATATACCCTTGGTTGTACGGATTGGTTTGTGTCGTCTAAATAAACGCCTGTTTACAAGTGGATTGCACCTTACAGACTTCGAAAAGTTGAAAGATTATTCATTTGTTGATTTCATCAGCACATATTTCAAAATATGCAACTCAAAGGGTTGACAACAAAGTTTTTACCGTAGTATGAGTCTAAGTCATAATGCTAATGACACTGCCTTTGTAATAGTGCTTATACAACAGCATAATCATGGTGAAGCTCCTTTGTTGCCGACATTAAGTAATAGAGTATATTCGGCCTTTGTGATTTTTCTGGCGGGATTTCAGTTAAGCTTGTTGTTTCGAGGTGCAAGTGTGGATCCTTCTCAGTCTTCGCATTACTGGTTAACCGGTTTGATTTTTGTCTCTCTCAGTTACAGATTCTTAAACTTCTTTGTCCTTTCTGTTAGATTTCGTTACTTTAATTTATACTTTAACCGCTAGGAAGCCCAAATGGAAGTTAAAACTAGTTATTAAACTTATTATTAATAGTGTTAATTGTTTACAACGTTGCTTCTAAAAATTTTGGTAGGATGAAAAATTTTGCCTGCCGCTATCCGCTCTATTTTCAGCGGAAAAATGTGGAGGCCGCAAGTATTGCCGGGATTTTTTCGTGAAATACTTGGATACCGAAGAATACGCAACGGGTTTCTAGCTCTCTGATTGGATGTATTCTCCATGGCATGGGCTAAATATACGTACTTACTGCACCCGTCCTTATAGTAATACATCATTGTTAACGGACTAACAAGAGCATTCTTTAATATAATAAGGTCGAGTATTTCCTTTCAAAAATACTTGCGCAGTTTCTGCAAACCCCTTCTTAATCCAGGCTCTGATATGGATGGTCATGTCACATGCGACAATGACACTATCAAACTTTCAGATTGTTTCTCCTTCGCTTTTTCGAGGAACCAGTTTGTGAAAGCTGATGTTCTTCTTTGCTTCAATATACCTATACAACCCATGATACCGCAGATTATTACCACTACTTACGCCAGTTTCGGTCAGTGTATCCCCCGAACATATACTCTCCCACCCTCACAAAGGTCACTGTGGGACCCAGGCCATTGCACTGCGAGTGAAATGTGCTGGAACTCCATCCATGGTCCGTAGCTCGGTAGCAGAGCTTCCACTTAGATGGCAGTGTAGATACAGGCTGCAACCAACCTTTCAGCACCTCCCAGTACTTGGTTTTGTTACCGAGGATCGTCGATGGATCAAACTCTGGTCCTGTAGAATCAAGGTGAAAAACATCGAATTCAAAATAACTCAGTTCAACTCAACTTCAACTTTATTCACTTCTGCAAGTTGCAGCTGTGACCGCTTTTAATTTATTCACATTCTTTCGTATAGATTTAATCCATTCAGAAGCCAGCTGGAAACTGTCCTCGACTTCTAATTGGTTAATGTCTACGTGAAAGAACGTGAATTAATTAAAAGAGGTGACACTTTTGGACTCCTTGCTGTAAAGATTTCTTGGCATAATCTCGCCTGGGCAAGCTAGTAACTTATACCCATTACAGATACGGAAGTAACCAATACACGGGGTCAGGAAAGTACTCTAAATTTGTAAACTGTCTTCGTTATTGATTTAGATTTTAAAATGCCGGTAAGGTGTTACGGAAGGTTTTTCCACTTTGAAACGAATTTAAGGCTCAATGGGAACTCGGTGCTTGACTCACGATAAAACTGGGGAAAACTAGACTCAAATGGCAACTCACTTGCGGGGAAGAGCCGTCACTTCTCCGTAGGACCGGGATCTGACCACTAACTGGTACAGCAGTAGATAAAACAGACTAAACTTGGTTCCAACAGCGTTTATTCTTCAGCGGATCAAACAGCAATAACTCGGCTAGGACATGGCCAAATAATCGACGATGTAATCGGCGATGTAATCGACGATGTAATCGAAAAATCAGGTCAAAGCAGCTTACTTATATATGATTTTTACAACCATTGAAGACAAAAGAATACAATAGAAATATAAACAGAAATCACTTAGAGTTAAAGGAACAGTATCCCGTTACTGCGCATGCACCAAACTTTGATTTTTGGACAGGATGTCGCGAAATCAAAAGATGCGAGGAGAGTAAGAGAACCTTGAAAAATCCGTTTGCATCGCGCTTGGCCGGCTTCAATACGACAATTAAACTTCTCAGGATTACAGATAAGTGATATATTGTTCCGGTTAAGTTTCGATTTGGGCAAAATCTGGATTTTATGGTGTTACTTTTATTGCCGTTGGCCGGAGGACCAAAAGATTGGAAGCACTTTGATGCCGATTGAAGGCTTATTTCTTCTGCTAGCTTCCATACAAGCTCAGATAATTGTGAAAGGAATACGCAGAAATGAATCAGCAACAATAGAGACTGTAAGAAAGAAACCATTGATACATGGATGTGACTGAGGGCTGAGGAGATCTTGTAGAGGGGAGCTTCGCGAAGCAAAATGTTTTGCAACGACGCGTTAGTAAACTTTTAAATGAATCTCCCTACGGCCGACAAAATCAAACAAACAGGCGCTACATGTTTAGAAAAACTAGTGCCCTGAAATCATAATATAATTTTTACTAACCTTTGTGATGATTCATAGCGTTGAGATTGCATTTTTTGGTCTTTCAACGTTTGAGGCTAGAACGCGAGCAAATCACGCAGATATTACTGGACTTGGCACAATTGACCTCTGACACGAGTTTCAAATTTGAAAATATATTTTTAAAGCGAGCGAAACGAGATTTTCGAGTCGCGAGGCGGCCCAGCTGGCGATAAAATCGCGATGAGTCTTCGAACCGCGAGCCAAATATTTATGTAAGACGAAAGACTTCTTCGATCGCGAAAGTCTAAAATATTACTTGAGAATATAAACAACAAAACCCCGTCGGCGGTGTGGTCCGGAAGGAAATCTTGTCGAGTCAATATGACAGTTCTATCGTCTTTTGAAGAAAAAACAGATGACGCTCGCGCGTGCGCATAATCGGGACACTGTCCCTTTAAATGAAAGCTAAATACAAATTCTATTTTTAACCTGAAATCTTTTGTTACTGTTGCTATTTTAAAAAGTAAAAGTACTCAGACAAAGACCTAGCCAGGTCAGTAAAACAGCGTTTATGTACAAAGTGTTACAATATAAACTGCAAGTCCAGCTATCGGCTGTTTAAACAGGAAAAGCGCAGACTAATTGGAAGTTTTCACCTTAAACAAAAACCGATCTAATTTTAAAATTACAAGACAGCAAAACCTTTCATATTCAAAATTCGGTTACCACCTCTCCTTAACTAGCAACTTAATGAAATATACTTTTGCAAATAAATATAACTAAGTTGCAATTAGAACGAGGTACACCTGTATCAAAGGCGTTACTATGAATAGATGTCGTCTCGAAGTTAAATCAAGAAAAATAGACTGAAGTCAAATAAACCATTATTAAGAAATTAAGTATTCTTTCAAGAGTGAACATTGACGTAAAATGTATATAATTGAAAAGAGAACCAGCAATTACTTTTGTTTGTTAAGGAAAACTGTTGGCTTCTCTATGATTATTAGTTAGTGAACACAAACAAATGAAACAATGGAAAGTAAAATGGCACGAGCCTTTTTGAGGAGCTAAAACTTCTTTATGCAAATTCAGTATGAATTACTAAGAACAACGTCAAAGCGAATATTTAAAAGCTATATATGATACTCGAGGCAAACAAAGAATTCATGGAAAATCTCTCCTTACAAAGGAATGTTGTACAGAAAATTGTTGCTGCGGAGCGACCGTAGGGAGCGAGCAGCAACATAATCAGGATTTAAGAGAAATATATAAGGGGAGACGAATTCTCGAATTCATCACTTTTTACCACAATGCATTGCATTTAACCAGAGTGCATTGCGCCACGAACAACTCAAATAAAAACATGGGTAAGTTCGCATCGTTCGCTGCCCAGACTCAGAGTTTTCTTTGTAGCAAATTTTCTACAGCACGGTTAGAGGTCTTACCAAATTTAAGACACGCAGGAGTCTTTCAGATGAGTACGATGGTTAACTTGGGGATTGATTCAAGAGCCTTTGACTCGTCCAGGTGTTAAAACTTACGAGAAGACGAGCATTTTTGCTCTTCGTCTCCGCAACACGGGTGATATACAAATTCCAGCTTGCTAGAAGGTGATGTGAAAGTGAGAAAATGTCATGCCATGCTATTCTTAAGAAACTGTATGAGCCGAAAATGGGTGTGATTTTGACCATTCACTTCGAAATAACAGCGGAAATGGAGATAACAAAACATACCGGTATGTTTTGTGTCCTACGTTGCAGACGAGGACGTGTATCGGCGTTTTGAGAAGCATAATTACGTTCTTTCATTCGTTCATTGCCATGGAATATGCGTTGACATTGTTTTTTTACTGTTAATAGCTCGATTAATGCGGCTGGCGATCATCTTGCCGGCGGAAGTTTCATAGAAAAGACATTAAATTAAAGGCTTTTCCCAAGATTACGTAATCAGTCTCTGTGGTTTAGTGGTTCGGTGTAGTCGCGTCGAGCCGATGGTGCCCGGTTCGAGTCCTACCGAACTCTTTTTTTCCTTCTTTCTTTTTTTTTCCGTTTTTTGTGTTGTTGCATGTTTTCTATAAATATATAGCTGTTACTTAATAAAGTGCAATAAACAGCAAGAAAAGTATCGTGTTTCTAGAGAAAAGATAGTTCACCATATATTAAATATATGGATAAACAATCTGAATTTCTATCATTTCCTACCATTTATTGTGGGAAAACCAGAGTTGATAACCCCTTGATCATTTTCTAAACAATGTTCCCACGAGTTCTTTCTATAGACTGATAGTAATTATTCTCGTACTTTCCAACATGCAAACAGGACATTCAATGTCACTTTCGATTCTTTTAAGTCCCACTGCCTAACTAATGCCAGTATCAACAGAATGTGCCGCAGCATTTCTATCTTTTAGATACCCTAGTTAATATCAATAAATAAACTTGAAATTGAATGCGTATGCAACTGTGTAAAGGAGACGCAGGTACAAAACTTCAATAAGCATGCATTTCATCCGCGTCTCACTTACAAGATAAAGACTATACCTTTTTTCAAAGACTTCTTTACAAGGTATCATGTATTGATCGTTATATTTACCTTTCTTAATTTTAGAAAAAAATCAATAAGACAGTCAGTATTATCTCAATGAGTTTGTATTGTGATCAACCTGTATCTCCTCAACCAGGGAACACTTTAAAGAATATATATTTTTTTCATCAAGTTATTTTACAAACTTTAAGCAAATGCCCTACTTGGACCTAGTAATGATAAATTAATGAATTCCAAAGATAGCTTTGTTAATTTACGACTGATGAACTTTGTTGCATCATTAATAAATTTACTAGCCTGCGAGCAAGCTCTCCTGTTTGGGCTAGCGAAGCGAGCCGCGCGAGAACGCGCGAGCGAGGAGCCTCTCGCGGCTTCGCCGCTCGCTCGCGCTTTCTCGCGAGACTCGCTTCGCTAGCCCAAATAGGAGAGCTTGCTCGCAGGCTATTAATTTACGTGATGGTTTATTTTCACTTCAGAATGATGACACTTAATTTTTACTAGAAATGTATTGTTTTTAGTCCCTATCCTTTTGCACTGTAATCGCCTATAGTCTTGCTAATAAAGGTTTGTTGTTTTTGTTGTTGTTGTTGTATTGTGACCAACTCTTAATAACATACTAAATTGTAAATACAACTTTTTTTGAGGATTGGTTTATACCTTCGCAAATTGGTGCTTCCACGGTCCAGTTTCCAGTCTCCCCATCACAAATCCTGACCGGTGGTCCCCTCAGCCAATAACCTTTGTTACATTTGTACGTGATATTTTTTCCTTCCCTGAAGTCATTTCCTAGAATGTATCCATTTTCGAGTGGAGGAGGTTCGTCACACAATCGGTGACCTAAAACAAAACGTTGCATGTATCATAACCAAATATTTTCAAAAAAGCAATCAAGACAGGTTTCTTTGGACACACTCAAGACTCCGTTTAGGAGAAACTAAAGAGAAACCATATTTTAAATACCTTGGAATACTGTTCTTCAGTAGGACCCACATACAGTAATGATATAAAGGAGGGAGGTTCTCTCGGCTTCGAATGTTAAATGAAAAATATTACTGAGCCGTTCAAAAAACGGTTCATTCAAGTTTGTGGTAGCAATAAGCTCGTTTCTCTTTAGCGAGGCTTTTCGCTGGCTTTCTTATTTCTCCTTAGTTAAAAAAAAAAAACAAAACAAACAAAGACAAAACAATACGAAGATACAATTGTTTATCATTATTATTTGTGTTTCCTACGATATTCCTTATTACTGAAAGCCCAGATATGAGTATTGAATTAAAGACTTCATTTTATCACATGTTGGGGCCACATCGCTCCAATTGCCGTTTTCCTGACAGAGTCGGTTTGTAGGTCCTTCCAAGTGGTATCCTGTGTCACAAGTAAATGTAACCATCTGTCCTGCCCAGTAATTTGCTCCAGTCTTATAACCATGCACAGGCAAACCAGGATCTCCGCAACCAACAAGCTCTAAAATTAAAGAGATAGAGACCTTTTTTTTTAATCCTGTAAGGCTATCAATACGCATAACTTTATTTAGCAAGATCTATGCGATGCAAGACTTGTTGGACCATTATACCAGCTCAAATGCGCTTATCTATACCACTATTAACTATTTTCACATTTTTCTCATCACTTTAATACTGTGTGTGAAAATGTTATTGACTTTTTTTTCATCCCTTCGCGGGTAATTTAGCGCTTACTTATCATAATGGTACCTGCAATGGTTGAGGTCTCCGCAGTTCCGTTGTTGTAGTTCTTAAAGAAACAAGTATAGACGCCCTGATCACTTGGACCAAATTTTGGAATAACAAGCTCTCCTGTTACTTCTCCTTCAGTGTCTGATGTCGTGTTGGCAGAAATGATAGCTTCATCTTTGCGCCACTCTAGGGTGGGAACGGGAGATCCCCGGGCCGCACATTGCAATATTACTGTATCATACGTCTTTTTTACGGCCACGAAGGGGGGTGGTGCGGTAGTGATAACTGGAGGCACTAATAACAGAAAACGAAAAAAGGACTTTATATCCATAAAAGTACGAGTCGGCTTACCATTAATGGATAGAATCAAATAATGCGTCTCGTAATAAATCTGATCGGAGTTTATTTCGATCCTCGTACACGGTAATGTTTATGCGAGTAAAGTTTTATAGGAACAAAGTGTCTGTACAGGGGCCAATAAAATCACTTATTCAAGACGTTAGTACGAATTTGTTTGAATTAACGTATTTCCAGTGTCAAGGGATATATAGTTGACTACGGCCAGTGTTTATTCGTACAGGACTAGATACAATATACTCATGTTTTTCATAGAAGATCTGCATGACAATGCAAACTATAGTATGTCATTTTGTTTCGTCCGTTTCTACGCCGAATTTTTTTTTGTCGCTGTTTTTGTTGTTATCTTATCTAAAACAAAAAAAGCAAAGTAATGGCATCGCGTGAGTATGGCTATTTTCTTGACCACTTACAAACAGGTTTCACCACAAGGACAATCAGCGCATACACGTGACCTAGGTTGTTATCTCCTCTGCACATGATTGGTCCTCTGTCTTCCCAGCGAGTTTCTTTGATAATGAGATCCTTCCCAGCCATCACGTGGCGACCATCAGATAATGTCCGGAATGACCGAGTCCATATTATTTCAGGAGGTGGATATCCAAAAATGTTGCACGTTAATGTCGTATCCCAGGTCTCGTATCCCATGTGATACACTTCGGGGGCTTCTACAAAGCGTGGCGGCACTGCAAAAGATTAATGTAAGATTATTAAGCATGGAATAAAAATAACCCACCAAAAGATATTATTCTGTTCCTAAATTAGACTTTGATAGACTGTGCTCGCAAATTTAGCATAATATGCCACTAGCAGTGCTCGTTGCCAATGATTATGCTATTTTTTTTGTAAATTGTGCTCATTTTAGCAAAAAATGGAGAAATTATGATTGCACTTTTTACTTTTTATTAATTTAAAAATTCGTTGAAATTGTGCTCATTTTAGCAAAAAATGCAGAAATTATGATTGCACTTTTTACTTTTCATTAATTCAAAAATTCGTTGAAAACGTCATACATTTACCCCATTAACATTTAGAAACTTTAAGGACTATTATTTATTGCCTGATAACTAAAGTAACTCAAACAATTAACAACCACCTTGCGGACGCCATCTTGGGTAACCGAGCTAATACAGTCAAACCTCTTTAATATTGACACAAAAGGGACAGAACTAAGTCTCCGATTTACAGAGGTGTTCGTATTATAGCGGTTGGGAATGTATGATTTTGGCATTTCTGGGACCAAACGAACTGTCCGTAATAGAGAGGTGTCAGTATTATAGAGACGGTGTCTGTAAGGAGAGGCTAGGCTGCATGCGCATCCGTTGAGTCCTGTGGAAAGGTCCTGGGTCACTTCATGTGGGACCCATGGCCAGGTCCCATGAATATGACAATAAGCAGACCAAAAATTGATTTTGTTGCTTAAAATTGCCTGTAACACTGATCTAGGGCCAAAGAAGATTGGTTGCATGATCAATAAAGGACATTTTTGTGCTACAAAAAAAAAATGTGTTGGTAATGATGAATTATACCAAACATTATGCTAGCACACCACAATCTGTCAAAAGTCTACTTGAATACTAACCGTGTGAAGTACTTGTTGTGTACTTTCTATATAAGATTTTTGCCACAATTTAAATGTACTGTTGAAAGTACAGTTTAGATTAGTGTCTCATACCTACTACAATAATCTCGACAGTCGCAGAATCAAATCCCAAGAAATTCCTCGCCTCGCACTTATACAAGCCTCTGTCGGCGTACTGGATACTGAGAAACGTGAGCGTTCCCATGTCAGCATCGTAATTACTACTGTCAATCATTTCACCGTTCTTATACCAAGTAACCTCTGGCTTAGGGAAACCCTTTGAGTAGCATGGAAGAGAGATATTCTTTCCTTCTACTGTGGTGAGATTTGAAGGAGGTCGTTTCTTGATTCTGGGCAGCTCTATGAATATGAATTTAGATCACCTTTGTCAGTATAAAAGCAAATTAGCTGCAGCTGTTGTATTGCATTACTTCACTGAGGTAAACAAAAGGGTTCTTTGTTAGTCCCTACTCTTCTTACCCCAACCGTTTGCTTCACCCATTTTTGATCATCTTCTTATTTATCACATTAACGCATACATTTGGCGATACTTCAACCTCGTCCCCAGGGCTCTTTTCCCTGGCTTTGGGGAAAAGCACCCTGGGGACGGGATTGGGCGATACTTAAGAAAAAAAACCAAGAATAAGTAATAAATATTAAGGAAGAATTAAAAAAAAAACACTTAAGGGGAAAAGGGAATTTAAGGCTGTTAAACGATTGAACAAGTACACTTTTCTGAAATTTAAAAGTTTGTTTTGTGTTCAGAGTATGAGCCAAAATTTTTCACTCGTAATGTCGAACAATCAAACTTACAGTAACCTCTAGCCGATATTGACGTTTATATAGAGCCCTTTCCCTGGAATCCAGTGTTACCTATGTCTTCGATCATTTCGGACGTGTTTCCTGCAAAAGCTTTTCCAGGTCTTCCTCTGGGTCCTCGGGGTCCTCTTTCGCCAGGTGGACCTCGTTTACCTGCTCTTCCAATGTAGCCTGGCCTGCCTCGTTGTCCACGGCGACCATTTTTCCCTTGGGGCCCTCGTTCTCCTGCAAAAGGTTATCACGATTGTTACTAACAGTGCCAAAGACTTGAAAAAATTGAACGCAGAAAGGAAAGCTGCAAGTAGAGATTTCCGACACTATTCATAATTTTCCGAAAAAAATGACGTACCTGTAATGAACGAGTTTATAAATTGTTCTGTTATCAGCAGTAATAGCCAAGGAACTTCTAATCATTGCTTGAAAATAAGGGTACCTTTCAGTGGCTGATTCAGACCTTTAGGGGTTTTAGGAGCCTCGGTTTGGTCTAACCAGGTTAAATTTAATAGCCGTATGTCTTTAAACAAAAGGATAGCAGTGGCCGTCATTTCTTCAATGCACTTGTTTGACGTTAACACTAGCATTTTCAATCAAGTTTCTCACCTCTCATGCAGACTACGTCTTTTTCTGTGCCATTGCTTGCTGCGTTTACTGTGACCTAGCAACAAAATAAAATAACAGAAGAAAAAAAAGTGATAGGTTTCCTGTTTTTGTTAAACTCAATTTGACCCAAATAGACAGCTCTTAGATAATCGCGTGACCTTCCAATTAGGCAATAGCCGTTAATATCGTTAATAGAAAGAAATAAAAAAATAAAACCATAAATGAAAAAAAAAAAACATAAAAAAAAAAAAAATGAATTATTTCATGTATATTTCACATCAGAAAGATTGTTACTCCAAAATTTGTCGAGCGAGTAGAAGAAAATATTATATTTTAGTAGCTGCTTTGTATCTCAGAATAATGGCAAACACGCAAGCCTGTGTAAAAATAGCCTTCTGCGAAGTGATGTAGCGCAAGGCAAAAAGCTCTGATAAGGGGAAAATCACGTCGACGTACAATATCGGATCTTTGGTCAGTAGATCTGGATCAGTAAATATCCGGTTAATACTCGGTAAAAAACGACTGGGGCTGACTGGAAGACTAGGAGAATGAGACAATATAAGAAGAAATAAAGCTTCGCAAAAGAAGATTGTGCACTTGAGTCCAAGGAGCCAATAATATCAGATACATTGGAACATCACCCTATTCAGGGTCACACACACCAATTTCAAGCTTCGTATTCTTTTTCATGGAAGCTCTGTATTGAGCTGATAAAATGATCATCGAAAGTAAAGGTATACAGTTATTTGCTGTTTTAATAAAATCAATAACAATAGCAGCTAGAAAAAAGCTGAAGAAAATCTCACAAAACGCTGACAAACCAGTGCAGTAAGGAATGATGACGAACTTAGTTCAATTACACAAGACTTGACAGTGCTAGAACATTCGAAGCGTGTGCAACCACATGTGCTTAAAACGGTCCTGCGCTCAATAGGAACCTTTTATTTTAGCATTGGTCATTGGTCACGGATTCAACCCACAGGCTTGCTTGCAAATTAGTTGAGTATAGGCAACACGACCATGCATGGTTGACTATAAGATATTAAATACCTCAATAGACATACCTTCGCAGATGCTCCCAAACCAAAGAGTTGCATGCAAGCATTGTGGCAGCTGACGCAGCTTTTAGCTCCATCTCCAGAAAACTCATATTCTCTTTTCCGTCTTTGTGTTAGCCCGCCTTCTTCGTCATCTCCATTGTTATTGGTTTTACCTTGCAAAGCCACCGATGGCCTTGACTGAAGCTGTAAGACTTGTGTTTCCAATATCTGCAGTTTGTAAATTACGGTTCCGACAGACGTTATGGTCAAAATTAAGTTGATTAACAGGGCAAATACTAAGAGACGGTTGCCTCGAGATTTTTCGGGCTCCATGGTGCAGTGCAGAGTGCTTTGTTGTGTTTAGTTAACAAACTGGGTGGTTGGGGAATATATAATTTATTATTATGCATGTTTAGCTGAATGAGTTCCTCAGACAACAAGGAATCAGCTTGCTTCAGGACCTAAACGTGCCAAACATGCCTTGGCGTAATGCGTCCCCCTAAAGTTAATTACTTTATTTTCCAATTAAATGTCATCTTCAATTAACATCGGTGTGACTTTGTCCTGAAAACTACCATGAAAACCTCCGTGCATCGCTACTAATAATGTTTTCAAAGTTTCATCATCTTATTAACTAAATTACACCAACTATACAGATTAATGTAGGATTAAGTTTTTTGTGAAATTTAATTAACGAATACTAAGCTTTACATCAAACTACATAGCTGCCATGTGTCCAAAGTGTTCTACGTGCGGAATTGTTGACGAATAAGTCCCACCCTTACACGAAACGGAAGACTTAGCTAAAAGCTAGTCAAATAATACTACTGGCTCGTGGTTGAAACCAGCACTTCGATCGATAAATATATCATATTCTTCCTGTAGGACTGTTGAACAGTTCCTTTTAAGCTGTTAGAAATCAGTTCAAGATAGGGACATAGCAACTGGCATTTGTTGTTGTTTAGTTGCGACCTTGAGCTACCTTGGGAAGTCACCCAGTCTCCTTATGATGAATCCTATCAGTTTATGTACTGGACTGCTTTGTTTTTCACATATAACCATGTTTATTGACTTTGTAACTTAGCATTAAGTACTTTTCTCTTTTCATGAACGAAGGACATGAATCATTATATCATACTTATAAAAAGAGTTTGAGTCACAAATTGTAAGTTTCGAGTCTTTTATCACTTCAAAAAAAAAAAAATGAGTGTTCTCATAGTAACTTCCTTACATTTTTTGTTATTATTGCTTTTCAACCGTGAAAGGTTTGAACCCAGGAGTCATTTCATAAGCAGGTCTTGTTCTTGAGTACGATCGTCCAATAACATCGCCACTTAATCGACCAATCAGGTCTATAACCAGAGTTTTCATACTCACGTCAGTTGATGGTATTTTGATGGTATTTTACAACTCAATTTGACCCTGAAGATGACTACCGCGCAGGTTGTCGAAACGTCAGTCACTGTCAACAACAGTCCTATTCAGATTACGTTCACCCGGACGATAATAATCGACCTACCTATTGCTCCTCAGTTGACTACGACGTGATGAAGGCCGAAATTTAAAGTCTAGTTTAAAAAAATCCTCCCTAGTTGGCTCAATGACCTTGAAACCAAGTATCCCCTTCAATCATATAGGCGTGAACTTGTTTAGTAATGTTTATGAAAATCAGTACTCAACTCTTAGTACCTTCTCCCTGGGTATGTCATATCAGCTTAAGCTCATTTTTACGCAGAGAATCAAAGCGAGAAAAGCAATCATAAGGTGCGTGTCATCGCCATCAGAACAATTGCTGTTTATGGCTAGTAGCTTCTAAAGGAATTCTCATTCACTTAGAGACCAGACCAAATTTTTGAAATTAAGGCTTGAAGGTGGGTCGTAGTTTTGAAAGACTTGCTCAGTGGCTTCACTTTCATCATTTTTGGGGTGGTAAAAAAAAAATGCAAAAAGGAAAAATTGTTTGAATTCAGAGGTCCACGAAACACGTAAATAACACTGACTGGTTCCTCTTCCCGGATCTCTGATTAAAGAGATGCTGTAGCCAGACGTCACTTGATGTGTAAAACAAAGCAAAACCGAATGCAATGCTGGCACTACGGCAAAGGGCTGATTTAACATAGGCCAATATTTCGGCTAACAAAATTAGCCTTCCTCGGGGCCAGCGCTATACCGAGGGAAATATTTTTCAACGGCTCCTAAAATTTAAAACTCAAATTTTAAATTTTAGGAGCCGTTAAAAATATTTTTTCTTGGTATAGCTCTGGCCCTAAATTAGACTAGCCGAAAATATTGGCCCATAATAGCGGGGCTCCCGCGCGCGCGAAGCGCGCGTGGGACAGAGCCCCATACCCATGGAATATGGTCAACCCCTTTTCGTTTGGTTGTCACGTGATTGACCGAGCGTACGTACGTACGTACGTACGTACGTACATACGCGTCTACAGATTGTACGGGTGGGGTAGGGGAGACTATGAAAAGGAAGGGAGGGGTGTCTCAGGCGTGTCTTGGCAAGTCCACATCTTTAATATAGGATTTTAGTATAGGACATTCACAATATGGTCAATTGACAGCTGTCAAAACAGGATAGTCACTGACCAGTATCCCATGACCATATCACGGGCTCATATGTCAACTCATCGAGGTGACGTGATTTATTTGGAAGCTGTCCGCTGACCAGTTAATTGTTTTACTAGATCGCGAACAATGTTCAATCTCATACTTTTACTAGTTAAACTGATAATGCACACATATTGGACATCAATCTTTTGATCAATTGACAGCTGTCAAAACAGGGTACCCGCTGACCAGTGTCACTTGACCGTATCGCGGGCTCAGGTGTCGACCCATCGAGGTCAAGTATTTTTTTGAAGTTATCCGCTGACAAGTTACTAGTTCTCAATTGATCGCAGGCTCAAGATCAATTTTTTTCTAAATTCATATGAAATATGTTGTGTTTATGTGCTACACAATTAAAATTTTGATTGCAAACTGACCTTGGACGCGAAAATTCAGCCAGCTGTTACAGGCAGGGATGACAGTTCAGGGCGGAAAAACGTAATGAGCATGCGCGAACTTTTTTGCCCAGATCCCCCGGCCGGGTTTGAAAAAATGGCGGGATTTTAAATATTTTATTGCCCAAAAATAAGATGTTTCCTCTCATAACCTGGAAAGAATAGGCAATTTCTCTTCAAAAGTTGCAAGCTGTGGTTATAACCTTGTCGTTACTTAATTTTCTCGAAGGATACCTCATAGTAAAACGGACTTCAACGACATCAATTTCCTTGCGTTGTACTGGAAATGTGCATGCCGTAGGTCCGATTTTTTTCAAGATGCATTCACAAAATGTGTTCATATAAGGAAGTTCCTGGATATATAAGGTCCGGAGCTCCACTGTGGACACAAAAACAACATATCTTTGGACAGTGATTTGCCCAAAAAAATTAACGCTTGCCCACAATGTGTTTGAAGGCACTGAACTTGTCGCACTCGAGCTGATATTTTAAAACCCGCGCTCGATCGGACACTCGTAGTTTCGCAGATAACTAAAATATAAACAAAATGCTCAATGTAGAAGTTATTGCGTTGATATGCGGGCAGAAAAAAGGTCAATCTTTTTCTAGTAAAACCTTCCCAAAAATCGGTTTTAAAGCAACTATAGTTTATTTTTAAACTTGATCGTTTCGCGTACTAAGATATAAATATAAATTATGCTTTGTGTTGTCAACTTGAAAATACATAACATCTGTCAAAAACCTACAGGTAAGTAGGATTTCCTTCAAACAAAGTTAAAATTACATTACTGCAAAAACTTCTTGCTGACAATGAAGAAATGAATTTTTTGTACGAAAACAACCTACCTAAAGATCTTAAAAGCAAAAGATCAGTTGCAGTGAGCTTCGCAGCTAAGCCATGATTCACCATGTAGCTCTTCTCCTCGCTTTAAAAACTCAGTGAATAACTGGTCCATGTGAGGGTCTTCATTCAAACAAATTAAACTCAGCCAATCGTTACAAAATTCAGAAAACTGCACATAAGGATATTTGTTTTGCTCGCTTCAGACAAATCCAGCTCCAGCAATTCAGTGTTACGGGCAGAGTCAATTGTTTTGAAGTGACTGCCGGCAGTTGTCCTCTACTTCACAGCGAGTGAAATGAAAAATTTGCGTACAGAAAGTTATTTCTTATAAAGAACAGAAACTTTCACAGTGCAGTGGAAAACAAAACTATGTAATTAAAAGTGAAGAAAACTCTGACTACTTACAGTATTTGAGCAACAGAAAAATGATTCTTTTCTTCTAGAGTAAGTTTACTGGCCTTCTACCGGTATTTGCCGAGAAAGTTTTACGGCGCACAAAATGGTTCTTAGACTGAAGAGAAGGATAAAGCTGGTTCTACAAAGGGAATAAATCTGGGCATGTGAAAAAGTATTTACTAATTTAAAAAAGAGTGGGTTTTAATTCAGCCCGGCGAAAGAAGGCGAAATCAACTCACAAATAAATCGAATGAACAATCAAAAAAATACTCGCCTCTTTGGAAATGTTCAAAACTCTTTATTCAACCTCAGACTGACGGAATGATCCGTTTTTCCTTTAACATTGGTTGTTCCGAGTCCAAAGTAATTTTCAAGTGACAAAAAACAAAAACCACACAAAAGTAAAAAGGCTTTTCGAGGAGCAAACGTTCACACCTTGTGCATTTCATTCAGTCTTAGTCAGAACTCTGTCAGTGACAAACAAACAAACTGTACAGTCAACACACATAAAAGCCCGCCTTGAGCCTGCGATAAAGGATGCGCAGAAGCTTGCGCAGAACGTTTTTCCGCCCTGAAGGATGACAGTTGCTTATGGTACGGTGGCCCACAAGGGACAACGCTTCTACTTGAAAATGTAGTGTCGTTCTGTAAAAATACAACTGTTATTTTTAGAATTGAACATCTTTCCTTAGAATTCTGCAATCGTTCCTTGTAAATCTGCGATCGTTCCTCAGAAAAATAGCTGTTCTGTGGAAACAGTCGCGAGCTTGTTCCGTAGAAATCTAGCTCTTCCGTGGTATAAGCCGTCGCTGTTCCGTAGAAATGTAGCTCTTCCGTAGAACTTCAATGCTTCCGTAGAAATGGAACACTTCCGTAGAAAGTTCAAACGTGTGCGCGCGCATTAGCCTGGGTGGGCACTGGGCATTAGCGCCTGGCTGTTCCCGCCGTTCCCGCCATTTTCTCTCCAATGTCTTCCTTTCTTCTCGTTGTGGCTCTCGTTGTTATCGGTAGCATGGTTTTTTGCCAAGGTTGTGGAACAAAAGTGATTCAAAATGGAAAGTTCTGCCACAGCTGTGGGATGGAGTTTAACGGTAGGTAAAATCAGTGATGATACTCTTGTTTCTGTACATTCTCTATTCGCAATGTCAGAACGAGCTTCGATGTTTTCAAATTTTATTATAGGCACACCAGTACCAGGTGACCTAAAATCGTTATCATTCGACGACTACAAAAAAAAGAAAGAAGACGAAAGACGTTCAAAGTTTAAAAAGGCAAACAAAGACACCAAACGACCTACAGCTCAGAAAAGCACAAATGAAGTGGCAAAAGTTCAAGTTGGCCTGGTTACCAGCAGTCCCGATTCGGACCATTTGAAAAAAGTGAAAGGAAGGACAATCCCCGTTCTGATCGACACTCGTGCAGACGCTTCCACCCTCCTCCACACTGCTGTTGAGAAGCATGGCAGGCATTTCAAACAATTTAATCAGTTTCTTGACTATGTCCTGTTATATACTGATATGTCTGTAGTGCAAAATTTACCTGCCAGCAACACACCTTTCACAGTCGAGAAATACAAGCGCGACTTGCTCAAGCCCTACTCTAAGATGTACTTTTGGCTTTGTGCTAAAGATGATTTTGAGAGTGTTAACAATGTCACCAGCAGCGATAGTGAAGATGAAATGCTTAACAAACCTGCATTTGAAGCTGGCTATAATAGTTCCACTGTGGCTCGTGATGTGTCGGTTTTAACGTCTCCTGAAGTAGCAATCAGATCTACTTGTCCTGATCTCCTGAACAAAGCATCAACATCTGGCACAAGTTATCATCAGTGTCCAACCTGTTTGGAGCTTTTCCCTCAGAGTGAGATCGAGGTTCATGCTGATGCTTGTGCAGAAGCTTGGATGGACCCAATAGGAGACCCTGATGAGGTTGATGACACACTGCCAAATGAGGTAGAACCTATGGAAGATGCTACAGGCACCTTGAGAGAGTCATTAGACATCAATCTGGAAACTCTCCGGAGTGAAGTTTCCAATTTGAGACGTTTATGTCAGTGCGAACTAACAAACAGAGTGTCTATAAGACGTCGTCTAATATTTCAGGATTACATGGATACCAGGAAGAAGAAATGGTTCAAACCAAAAGCCATGCTTAAGGTTACATTTGTTGGAGAACCTGCGGTAGATGACGGTGGTCCAAAACGTGAATTTTTACAGGTAATTTTTATTTGAAAATTGAGGATAGCTTATAAATATTACAAGCATCCTGATATTGCTACAACACAACAATGAGCATCTTATAGTGTGTATGTTGTAGGTTAAAACCCCTTCCAACCTACACGAAGTCTTCTTGAATCTGAACACAGCACTTTTACAATGACATGAAATATGGATTCATGAGAAAAAGTTGAAGCAGATTAATGCAGGTTGGAAACAGATTTAACCTGACAACTGATTTGACGAGCAACATGTATGACATGTCTTAAAAGTATATACCACTAAATGTACTCATAATAATTATTATTTAATTGAGTGTGTAGTGTTAGTGTACATTGTTATTGGTTGTTTGGATTGACTGATAATTGAAGTAATATTTGCTCATGCTACGAACTAAATTTGTCTTGTACTCACACACTGATTGATTTTACTTGTCTTTTCTGAACAGAAATCTTTGGTTATATCAGACGCACACTCTTCAGTGATGATGGTGTCCCCAATGCAGACATGAGAGCTGTTGGCAATGATGAATTCAAGGCAGTAGGGGAACTCATGGCATGTTCCCTTATTCAAGGGGGGCCTGCACCTTGTTTTTTGTCTGTGAATGTGTATGATTATGTTATTGATGGCATGGCAAGTGTGCAAAGTGAGAAGTGGGCTTCACTCATCAAAGATGATTTCCTGAGGCAGTCAGTGGAAAGGGTACAATTTTCACTATTGTGTATTATGTTCAAAATAATTTAATTACCATGATAACATAGTAGAAAAGAAATATCCTTGCACCGTGAGAGGCATGGACATTGCAGCCTGGCATTTAATTATTATCCTTTATCATTATTGGTTTTATTTACCTTGCACTGCAATAAATTAAATAGTGATGATCATTTAGTCTTTTTTAATTTGGTGTCAAGTATAATTCAGTTTTGCTTTTGTTTTCCCTTGCTACATCTCATGATCGTTAATACATTTAACTGATGCCATTTTCTTAACAACCAAAAAATACAACCAAAACCAATTGACTCACTCACTCACACACAATTTCCTGCACTTTATGCCAGCTAGATGTATTTGCCTTGAGTTTTGATTGGTTCACTTGATTGCCTGTGTCCTTTCTTTTTATTGGCCAGAGTGATTACTTCACTTTCGATTTTGCAAAAGTGACTGAAAACTGATATGAACAGTTAAGCTACACTTTAAGTCAGACACTTCCTTATGGTTTTAAATGCTGACATAAGAAATCAATAATCATTTCTCCTACAGATAGCTGTATGTAAAACTAATGGTGAGCTTGGAGCACTTCTCTGTGAAGATTCTATGATGGACATCCTTCAGATGGTTGGGTATCGTGGGGTACCATCCAAGGAGACCTTGAGTTCTGTTCCAGAAATTCAAAGGTACTTGATTATTTAACCAGTAACATGATGCAAATCAGTAGCCGGGCTTAAGCTGTTCCCATTTGAATTGGCCCATCTTGTAACAACAAAATTATATTGTTATGTGTTGCTTTGTGCATGTATGACGAGCTAC